CAAGAGAGTTTGCCGCATGGGAGGTGGGTGAGTTCTGCCTTCTGCTAAAATCTGGTCTGGACTCTTGCAACTCTGTTTTTTGTCCTTGTCGTTGTTTTCTGCAACCTTGTTTGTGAAACAGCCAAGAAGTGCTACAAGGCCCCTTCAGGAGCACGGCTCTGACTGTGGCTCAGCAGCCCAGGTGGCGTGTGATCCTAGATCCGGATGTACTTTTTAAAATTATTTCTTCATGCATCTATTATTTTTGGTCCCCATCAGGCCATGCTTGGCTTTATGTAGGTGATTGATGAGCAACTAATGAGAACTTGATCCACTGAGCCAGACCAGGTGCTGTGTGACCACACAATAAAAGCAAGCAATTTTCTTCTCAATTTTTGCTCTTAAGTTGGTTCTGAACAGAATCCCCAGGTGGGAAATAAGTAAATACTTCCCTTACATCCAGAATAAATTCCTATCAGATATGTTAGCTACTGGGCATAAATAATATATTAGCATTCATATTTAATGCCTGTAATGTGCTAGGAGCTGTGCCTAAAGCTGTGTAACAAGATTGTCCTGCAAAGTTTATATAGTCTAGTAGAGGAGATGGATGGAATTAGGAATTATATCATATGGTAAACAGAAATAAAGTTAAGATGCAAGGAGCAGCCAAAACTGGCTTGGCTCAGTGGACAGAGCTTCGGCCTGCGGACTGAAAGGTCCCAGGTTCAATTCCAATCAAAGGCATGTACCTAGGTTGCGGACACATCCCCAGTGGGGCATGTACAGGAAGCAGCTGATTGATGTTTCTCTCTCATCAATGTTTCTCTCTATCCCTCTCCCTTCCTCCCTGTAAAAAAATCAATAAAATATATATTTTTTAAAAAAGATGCCAAGGAGCATCACTTCCTCCAGGAAGCCTTCCTACGCAGAGTACTACAGGGTAGATTGGTTATCAGAAGAGTTACAGTGCTCACTGACATTTTGAATAGAGAAGAAAGAGGTGAATGTAATGAGAGGTTTAGATGTTAAATTTGATGGGCTTATGGGAAATGTTACCGGAGAAGGCCTGTTTACTCAGGAAACAACTAGGCTAGAGAGAGATTCAGCTGTCAGCATTCGGGTGATAACTGAAGCCATGGAGTAACTGTGCAAAGTCAGAACCTCAGGGAATATAGTAAGGAGCAGCCAAAGTAAGCTCCCAGAGGAGACAGGAGTGTCCAGAGGTAAGTGGACACACAGAACAGAGCAGGAAGCCACGGGACAAGTTTCCTAAATTCTTTGGAATCCCATGTTTCAGGATGGAACACATTCCAGACAGAAGAGGGTGCTGCTGAGTTCTTGGCGAGGACTGCTGATTCCATCACTACCTTAGACCCAGGCATTTCTCCTGGGAAAACACTGTTACACAAGCTTTTCACTCCACCAGCCCACACCTGAGGCTTGTGCTGTGGCTACCGTCTCTGGTTTATCTAACTCATCCACATATCTCTAAAGTCTTGATGTAGGTTCCCAGGACCAAATGAATTTTCAATCTACTCAGAAGTTTTTCAGGATTCCCTGGGCTTGTCAAGATTTTCTCTCCATAATCTTCTGACCAAGTCTCTTGCTCCAGTGTCCTCAACCAGCTGCACTGCGTATCTGGAAACCCTCCTTGCTAACACGCTAGGTTGTTTCTCCTTGAATTACCAAATATCTAAAAATCTCAACTTTCTACCAAGAAGTCAGCCTGGATAAATTAAGATGCTTTCAATTTTTAAAAAAAATATATTTTATTGATATTTTACAGAGAGGAAGGGAGAGGGATAGAGTCAGAAACATCTATGAGAGAGAAACATTGATCAGCTGCCTCCTGCACACCCCCTACTGTGGATGTGCCCACAACCAAGGAACATGGCCTTGACTGGAATCAAACCTGGGACCCTTCAGTTCGAAGGCCAAAATTTTATCCACTCAGCCAAACCAGCTTGTGCAGGATGCTTTCAATTACTTGTAGCAGCACCTTACTGACCTCAAGCTGGCTTAAACAATGAGGAAATTTGTTTCATGGTTGCAATCAGGGTTTGAGTGGATTCTAGGTTTGGCTTCAAAGATATCCTCAAAGCTGACTCCACTCATGCTCAACAGGTGTGTCCAGCACTTCCAGGCCTTACACCAGTGCCATCACCTGCGAATCTATCTTCTTTCCCAGAGCTACTCTCGACAGCCTCCCCATTTTGGGAGTAAACATTGGGTTACATTTCCATTGGCCAAGGCTAATTATATGGAGTAAAATGGTTCTTGGACTCATGGAAAGAGGTGAACTTCCAGGTGTCCTGATCATCCCACCCATGTGTTTACCCTTTACTCAAACACACCTGGCGAGTATTGTATTGACAACTGATGGCTGATTGAAGTTAATGACCTTCAACTACTTGTGTGGTAAGGACTGTCCAGATCTGTAGAGAATTTTCAAGGGTTCTTTGAGCTAAACTGACAATTGCTGGAAAGTAAAATCTCAAAGGACTGAGAAAATGCTTCAGGGAATGGCAGTCTTGCAGCTTATTTTATACATTACAATCAAAGAAGGAAACAAAAGGAGGGTTACATGAAATTCATTGTTGGCAGATTAGGGACTCAGGAGAAAGCAAAGCAGGGAAATCTCTGAGAGTGAGTAAAGAACAAAACAGACAATACCTCTTTTATACCTGTGGTACAGGATAGTTAACAGTCAACGTTTAAGCACATAGGGATGGCTGTGGGGGGGACAGGATAACCATCAGGGGTTCTGTGGCCTCCTGCTCTGGGGTGGTGGGTGTAAGTTGAGACGTCTGGAAAAGGATTTACTCCAATATTCCAAGGCGTTATCTGACATGTAGAAACACAAGATAGCTCATTTAGGTAGACTGACTTGTGTCAAAGAAGGAAAAACTCTCCGCAACCTGTTTTTAGTCAGGAGCTTTTACGTTCAGACCATCCTATGCAGTTACTCTGGAGTTTGTGCCTGCCCTCCCCTGAGCTTGTCAGATGTGGTATTTGAAAATCTCCCTATCGGTAGATGAATCTAACCTCTCATGCTGCCCTGGGGATTGTGAGAGCTTTTAGATTATAATAATGGACATTCATTAAGACTTGATAAGCATTAATTAAGCCCCTACTGCATACCCAAAACTGTCTTATGTGCTGGAGAGAGACCTCTTGGGGATTAGGCAGTGAGGTGTGTCCAGGGGAAGAGAGCGGAAGCTGGGCTGGGAAAGGTTGGGGGCCATGTGTTCAGGTGCCTACAGAGCTCTAGAAGTTTGAAAACTTCGCCCAATTGGAGACAGAAAGTGGTAAAGGTTTTAACCAGGAGAGTAACCGACTTGTTATACTTGCTCTCTCCTTCAGATTGTGCACACCCAAGGCGAGGAGGCAATCCTCTTGACTTGTGGACACTAAGACACGCCAGCCCCACCTGAAGGTATGGTCCCGGTGAGAAAGGCACATGGTGTTCACCTGCAGGCAGAGTCCCCCCGGACCTGCAGAGAGCAGAGCCAAATTAATGCCGATGGGAATGAGGATTATAGGCACTCAGGCCCAACATGGGGGAACTCTCACAGCCAGGAAAGCAGAAGCACGCAGCACAGCGCAGGCCTGCCCTTGGTAGATTCACACTGACATTTTGTTTTGTGGGTTTTTGTTTTTTTTTAAGTATATATTTTATTGATTTTTTACAGAGAGGAAGGGAGAGGGATAGAGAGCCAGAAACATCAATGAGAGAGAAACATTGATCAGCTGCCTCCTGCACACCCCCTACTGGGGATGTGCCCGAAACCCAGGTACAAGCCCTTAACAGGAATCGAACCTGGGACCCTTGAGTCTGAAGGCCTATGCTCTATCCACTGAGCCACACCAGTCAGGGCCACACTGACATTTTGGCTGTGGGCATTCTGGTGCCGGCCAGAATCTTTCACTGACTCAAACAACACCAAATTCAAGGACACCAACAACCCTTGCCAAACAAAAACCTATTGACAGAAAATGCAATGAGTTCATTGAAACATCTTAAATTTGGCAGAAATTTGCCTTCCCGTGAGCCAGAAGTGAGTTTGGGGCAGGTCAGTAGTAAAGAATGGTGATTTTATTTACTATTCCTCTCTGGGAAAGGTGATAATACAACTTCAGAAAGTGAAATCACGTTTCTGCGGTGAAGAGTCCCTTTTGTTACACTAGAATAGTGCTATGCAGAGCAGGTGCTTGAATTGTGGGTTAAAAATATAAAACCGGTAAATGTTGTGCTTATTTTCAAGGCTGGCTTAAGTATAAACTTGTTTGTTTAAAACACTTGAAAAATTAGCCCTAACCGGTTTGACTTAGTGTACAGAGCATCGGCCTGCGGACTGCAGGGTCCCGGGTTCGATTCTAGTCAAGGACACAAGCCTGGGTTGTAGGCTCGATCCCCAGTGAGGGGTGTGCAGGAGGCAGCTGCTCAATGATTCTCTCTCATCATTGATGTTTCTCTCTCTCCCTTCTTCTCTCTGAATTCAATAAAGATACTTATAAAAAAAGAAAGAACTAGAAATAAATCTTCAAAGTATTTAAAAGTCAGGATGGCAGGTGCAGGGACAAGGCAGGACTGATGTTGGCCACTAACAAGCAGTATGGCTGCTCTAGAGTGCACCCCCAGAATATCAATTATGTCTCCCTTCAGAAATAACAATGAGATCACAACATAGACATCAACCACAGAAAGATCTCCAAGTTATAGCCAAATGGGAAAATAAAAGTTGCAAACAAAATTAAAAAAATAAAACACTTGAAACATTAAAGGATTTGTTTCATATTTTTAAAAAGGAAGGAAACGCTACCCTAAGACCTCCAGGTGAAATGACACATGGTGGACAGTGCGTGTCCCGAGCAGCTGTCCCTCCGGGCTGCCCCACCTCGCGCTTGCGCACGGCGCCGGGGCGGTGGGCGGGGCTTCCTGCGGCCCCGCCCACAGCGTGCTCGGGGAGGCTTTTCCTCACTCGCGGCAGCTGCGCGTGAGGTGGTCCTGCGGCGGGATGAGTGCAGGCGCGGACCCCGTGGTCATCGTCTCGGCGGCGCGGACCGCCATAGGTGAGTGGCTGGAGGCCCGGCGCGGCGTCGGAGGCGCGGGCCCGGCGGGCCGCGGGGACCCCGGGGCGCCCGGGACCCTCGGAACAAGGAGCCTCACACCTCCCTCCGCCCGGCAGACCCGCCCCTCCGCCCGGGCAGGGTGAGTCCCTTCCGCCTGCTGATTGGCTGTCCGGCTAGAGCCACGGCGCCGTCCGGCCCTCCCATTGGCTGGCAGGAAGAGGCGCTCTCTCGCGAGCCCCTGATTGGCCGCCTCGTCCAGTGGCCTCAGGGCGGGGTCGCTGGTGGTCGCGGGCCGCGGGCCGCGGCCTCGCTGGTGTCGGAGGGGAATGCCGGCCGCCTTGGCCACTCCGTGCGGTGGGGTCCCCGAAGCCCTTAGACGCGCGGGAGGGTCGGCCTCTCTGGTGGGGAGGGGGCCACCCCCTCTGACCGGAGACCGGCCCAGGGCGGCCGCGGGGCACCCCTCTGCCCCCGCCCCGCGCGCCCCGCGCCCGCCCTGGGCCCAGAGGGGCCGCGGGGCCGCCGCCCCCACCGTGGGCGGCCTTCACTCCCCTCGCCTTCTTCTGTCCTAGGCTCCTTCAATGGTGCCTTGTCCACCGTTCCTGCCCATGACCTGGGCTCAACTGTCATCAAGGAAGCCCTGAAGCGGGCCGCCGTGGCTCCCGAAGAGGTGTCAGAGGTGGTGTTTGGACAGGTTTTGGCAGCAGGTACCTCCTCGGTGACCCCCAGAGAGGGTCATGTTTATAGGAGCAGTGCACCCACCACCCCACACACACTTTTGTCCTGGCCTCCCTCGGCCCTCCCCTCTGCCAAGGTCCAGGAATAGCTTCTGGCCTCTCAGCCTCCTGCACAGATTTGTCCGGAACCCCGAAGGAGCCTAGACCACCCCCGCCCTGCCCTTTCATTCTGCAGAAGCAGGGCCAGCCTGGCACATGGGAGAGTATGCACGAACCTCTGTGTTTCCCTAAAGTGCCCCACATGCAATAAGAAGGTATCCAGCCCCTCTCCTGTGCACTGCACAAAAGCACTCACCACAGCGCCCTGAAGGCCCAGCACCAGCAGCCGCAGGAAGCCCCGCTCTGTTTTCGTTATACCGTGTGGAGTTGCGACAGAGGTGCCGAGGATAGGGCTCCCTCAAGGCAGGTGAGGTCCTCACCCTCATGATCTCACTTCTGAGCTGGGAAGACAGGTTGGCTTCACACGACTCCCATGCAGGATGAGTGAGTCACTCCTGGGACGGGCACGGGTAAGTCACCAGAGTGCTCCATTCTTCTGGTTCCCGCCCAGTAATCCCTGCCAGTGCTCTGGTGAGTAATTATAACTAGTCCCATGCTGAGTATAAACTCCAGTTGTTCATACTGATCATTGGTAATGCTCACCAACAACCAACTTTTGTCCTTACCCCTTCTTAGACCCGATCCATTTTTCTGTGTATTTACTTTGTGGTTTTGTAGTTTCTCTTCCCAGTTCTCCTTTCTCCCCTTGACCCTTGTGGGCCTTCAGATGGAAGCACACTGGTTTCTTGTGAATGCAAGGCTTCAAATATCTGAGTCCTGCCTCACACTGCAGACCTTCCTCACTCTGCCCTTCTTCCTTCCCACCCTTATGGCTCACACTTACTCAGTGACTGTAGGGTACTCAACTACTGGTTTTTCTCTTTATCTTTTTTAAATTAAATGTGGTTTTAATTGATGTTAGAGAGCGAGGAAGGGAGAAGGAGAGAGAGAGAGAGAGAAACATTGATGAGAAAGATCAATCAGTTGCCTCCGTCACGCTCCCCTCCCCCACCTCGCTGGGGATCCAGCCCTCAGCTGGGGCTTGTGCCCTGACCAGACTCGAACCAGCAACCTCTTAGTGCATGAGATGATGCTCAATCCACTGCGTGACGCCTGCCAGGCTGGTTTCTTCTCTTTTCCACATCGCACCTCTGCAGTATCCCCACATTGCGGGCCCGTGGTGCTGGGCCTTTAAGGCAGCCTGATGAGTGCTTTCCTTTCACCCCCTCAGTTGGTTCTCTCAGTAAGGCTAGTGGGCCGTAGTATCTCCATTCACAAATGAGCACATGAGATTTTGCGAGGCTAAGTAACTTATCCAGGATCCAGTTTGACTCTTCTACCATATCTGTCCTCCCGAAGCCTAGGTACTGTCTACAGTCACATCACATATTTATTGAGCACCTGCGGTTCTCTGTCAGCTAGAAAAAAACATGTTTACATAAGATAGAAATCGTCATTCTCACGGAGCTCATTTTCTTTTAAATGCTAGTCTATTACTCATGTAACACTCATTTTTTAACTCTTAAGTACCTGAAGACAAGGATTATAAATAAATACATAAGAAACTTATAAAGAAGTTATTTACTTAAATGCATATGTAATTCATGTTGCTTAAAAAGCAGAAATCTTATGCCTAGCTGGTTTGGCTCAGTGGATAGAGCGTCGGCCTGCAGACTGAAGGGTCCCAGGTTCAATTCTGGTCAAAGGCACATGCCCAGGTTGAAGACTTGATCCCCAGTGGAGGATGTGCAGGAGCTGGCTGATCAGTGATTCTCTCTAATTGTTTCTATCTCTTGTTCCCTCCCTCTCTATTTATCTCTGAAATCAATAAATTTATACTAATGAAAGCCTTAGGTGGCCCTCTTGTCATCACAAGATGGCCACCCCATGTTGTCACAAGATGGCTGCCATGAGATGGCCTGCAGGAGAGGGAAGTTGGGGGTGACTGAGCCAGCAGGGGAGGAGTAAAAGCGAGATCAGGCTGGTAGGCAGAAGCACTTAGGGACAGGCAGGCAAGTGAGTGGTTAGGAGCCAGCAGTATGGATTGTGAGAAGGATATTTGATGGGAGCCTAAACCGGCAGTCAGATATTCTCCGAGGGGTCCCAGATAGGAGAGAGGGTGCAGGCTGAGCTGAGGAATACTACTAACCCCGCACCCTTTGCACAAATTTCTTTCACTGGGCCTCTAGTATATATAGAAAAAAATCAGGAATCTATATATATAAAAGCCTAAGTGACCTTTAAGACAGAATGACCAGAATGACCGGAACAACTGTCAACCAGCCGCAAGATGGGCACTGACCACCAGGGGATAGATACTCAATGCAGGAGCTGCCTCTGGTGGTTAATGTGCTCCTACAGCCAACCTCCTATGGCCCCAACCCCTAACCACCCCAGGCCAACCTCCCATTGTCCCTCCCCGCAGCCAGCCGGCTGGCCTCCCTTAAAAGCCTTGATTGCTAGCCAGGCTGAGGGACTACATCCATGCATGAATTTGTGCACTGGGCCTCTAAAATAATAGCCTTCTTTATTGACTAGTGTCTTATGAGTTTAATTTAGAAAATATTTCAATATTGTGTATATAACATTTTTTTTTGCATCTACTCTTCACATCCAGCTAACCCCAGATTAATAACACTGATGAATATAATCTCTACATTTTATAAGTGACCCATTTGCTAGTTCCCCCCCTCCCCCAACAAACTCAACCAGGAAAGTTGCTAGGTGTGAGTATATCAGTAATTTCAAATAGAGCGACCGCTATATAAACACTGACCTTGTAACAGTGACTCCATCCCCTTCTCTAATACTTTGATTAAAGTGTGTGATATATTTCTTCCCATCCCCTGAAGGAACTCCCCACAGTTGAATTTGTCAGTTCTCATGTTATACACAGCTTGTTACATAACCAGTTAACTGTGAGTTGTGAATATTATGGAAAGAAGTGCTTCTTATCAGAGATGTCCCTGTTTAGCCCTCTTTTCTTCCCTTGGGCTTAGCCATGATCACAGCAGCACAGAACCAGTGCCCATGTTCTGCCCTGTCTTTATAGGTGAGTGTGTGCCTACTCAGGCCCTATCAAAAAGTCCAGAAGACATTGCCTTCTAAGGGAACTAATGAATTTGGAGAAGAGAGCTTATATCCATGGCATCTGTAGAACAGCACAAGATAATATTTCAGGGCTGCACTCTGACAGATGTAGCGTGTACATAGTTCTTTATTTAAAATAATTAAAAAAATTAATTTCAGAGAGGAAGGGAGTGGGAGAGCGAGAAGGAAACATCAATGATGAGAGAGAATCATTGATCAGCTGCTTCCTGCACACTCCCTACTGGGGATCGAGCCCACAACCAAGGCATGTGCCTTGACTGGAATTGAACCTGGGACCCTTCAGTCCACAGGCCGGTACTCTATCCACTGAGCCAAACCAGCTAAGGCGGGCCTTTTTGCCTCTGGTAGAGTTTGCCTTGGCAGGCAGGACACCCAGTTGCAATCATAGTGTCTCCCCCAAGTATGGTTTCTTTCTCTTTGATTACTGAGAGCCCTCTGCTTCCCTTCTTCCAGGCTGTGGGCAGAATCCGGTTCGCCAAGCCAGTGTGGGAGCAGGGATCCCCTACTCTGTTCCAGCATGGACCTGCCAGATGATCTGTGGTTCTGGCCTCAAAGCTGTGTGCCTTGCAGCTCAGTCGATCCAGTTAGGAGACTCCAGCATTGTGGTTGCAGGAGGCATGGAAAATATGAGCAAGGTAAGGCCTCCAGAGACAGCTCTCGCCAATAAACCGTGTCCATGCACGGCAGGGTAAATCGATTCATTATCAGAGCTGGAACCGAACAGTAAACAGGCAAAAAATTGATTCAATCTTGATCCCAACTTGAAAGTTAATTATTTTTCAAATTAGTTGGGAAATTGGGGTTGAAGAAAAAGCTTGTCAACCAGTGTGATTAGAATAGAATGGCTTTCCTAAAATATTAACAAAACACACAATGTTTTCTGAATTAAACCTGTAACACTAGTTGTTGATATCCTTGGTCTTCAGTCTCTCTCATTGCGAGGAAAAGTCAGTGTTGCCATTTACCTTCCTGCATGTCACAAAGAGGAACCAGGGGCCAAGTTTTGTTTACCTTTGGGAGCTATGAAACAGGGAAGAGGACCGCTGAGCGGTATCCTTCTCTAACAAGCTTGCCAGGTGGGATTTGTTTCACCAGGTTCCATCCCACAAACTGGCAATGACAAAGAAAAAGCTATAGCCCCTGCTTCCTACAGGCAGGTCAGTGGATGATCTGAGGATCTCCTAAGACAGGGGTGGGGAACCATTTTTTCTGCCAAAGGCCATTTGGGTATTTATAACACCGTTTGAGGGCCATACAAAATTATCAACTTAAAAACTAGCCTGCTGTGCACCAGCTGGTTTGGCTCATGGGATTAGCATTGGCCCACAGATTTGAGGGTCCCAGGTTTCATTAGAGCCAAGGGCACGTACCTCGGTTGTGAGCTCCATCCCCCTGCAGGAGGTATCCAATCAGTGTGTCTTTCTCAGATCTCTGTTTCTCTATCTCTTCCCCTTCTTTCCACTCTCTACCACTTTCTAAAAAAACCCATGGAAAAAATATCCTCAGCTGCGGATTAACAAACAAAAATTAGCCTACTATATTTGGTCAAACATTTAATTAACTCACCTCTAATGCCTTGGCAGGGCCAGACCAAATGATTTTGGAGGCTTAATACGGTCTGGGGGCTGGATGCTCCCCACCTGTGCCCTAGGCAGAGGGTCTGTTCAGCACAGCCATTGCTGAGGCCCCGGAAGGGGGAGGCAGGCCTAAGGTAGCAAATACCATCAGAGTGATTACGATGGGACCCTAGTAATAACCTGTGTGGTACTATAGGAGGTGCTTTTATACAGGCAGTCACAGCAGCCCTAGAGGGTAGATGGTGTCATTGTTAATTTACAGTAAGTAAGCTGAGGCCCAGAGCCAGGATTCAAATGAGATCTGACTCCCAGTCCCTTCTGTTCTAGTACAGCTGCTCCTGAGGTGGGGAGAGAGAAAGGGCGCCCTCCCAGAAATCCTCCCGCTCAGTTAATTAGCACCTACTCCCTGCTGCTGTGGGCACTGCGCCTCCATCAGGAGGAACACATGGTTCTTATCAACAAGCTCTTGGATGAGCTCTCCATTTAACAGAGAGCTGTTTGCATCTGGAATGAATGAGGTTCTTAAGGAAATAGGACACGGAAGAGAGGTTTGATAGGAAATGGAAATGGGTAGGTAGGAAAGTAACAGGCTCCCGGGAGTAGACAGGTGGAGCGTTTCCTGATTCCAGGAGTTTTGGGGACCTGAACCCGGGGAGAGGTGGAGGCTAGGCCAGAATTGGGGAGAAAGGTCACAGGGGGACTAGATGAGGGCTTAGAGATTACTGAGTAGTTAAGAGTGGAGTCCTGAGCAGAGGACTAGTGATAGCCAAGCCTAAATGCATTGGTATTTCTTGTTTCCAGGCTCCTCATCTGGTTCACCTGAGGACAGGAGTCAGGCTTGGGGAAACACCGCTGACTGACAGTATTCTCCATGACGGGCTCACAGATGCATTTCACAACTACCACATGGGCATTACAGGTAAGGCATGGGTAGCAGAGAACGCTTACTGTAGAAAGGTAACTCCCAAGGGCTTTCCTCAGGAGACCATATATCGTAAGAGAGCCACGTAAGTCCAAATCAGGGACATTTGACAAAAGAACTGGCCTCTGCTCTTCTAAAACATCAAGGTTAAGAAACACAGATAATCTAAAGAACTCTTCCAATAAAAAGAAATGGACAGTGAAATGCAGTGCATGATCCTGATTGGATCCTGGACTAAACAAATAAATTAGCTATAAAGAACACTGGCCGAAGCCGGTTTGGCTCAGTGGACAGAGCGTCGGTCTGCGGACTGAAAGGTTCCGGGTTCTATTCCGGTCAAGGCATGTACATTGGTTGTGGGCACATCCCCGGTGGGGGATGTGCAAGAGGCAGCTAGTTGATGTTTCTCTCTCATCACCGTTTCTAGCTCTTTATCCCTCTTCCTTCCTCTCTGTGAAAAATCAATGAAATATATTTTTAAAAAAAGAACAACAGTGGGCCCTGGCCGGTGTGCTCAGTTGGATGGGCAATATTCCATGCACCAAAAGGTTGATGGTTGGATTCCTGGTTAGGACACATGCCCTGGTTGGGGCCTCGATCCTGAGTAGGGGGCACGCAGGAGGTAGCTAATCAGTGTTTAGTTTTCACATTGATTTTTCTTTCTCCCCTTCCCTTCCTCTAAAAATCAATAAAAATGTATTTTTTTTTAAAAGACACAATTGGGGCAAATGAAACTGGAATATGGACCAAGAATTAGATGGTATTGTATTGATATTATATTTCCTAATTTTGAAAGCTGTGGCTATGTAAGAAAATGGCCTTGTTTGTGGGGAAATACACTCTGAAATAAAATTTAGGGATAAAGGAGCAGGATATCTAGAACTTTCAAATGGTTCAGAAGGAGAACGGTAAAACACTTGGGGCAAAATAGGCAATTAGGGAATCTGCATAGAGGAAATTTCTGGAAGTTTAAAATTATATAAAAAGGAAAAGAGAGAGGAAGGAAGCAAAGAAAGAAAATGGCTTCTTGAGTCCCTGTGAGAATTTCATATTCATTGCCAGTGGGAGGTGAGATTGCCAACAGAGCACTGTCCCTGAGCCTGCCAGCGAGCTGCTGGTGCTGGGCGCTCAGTGCTTCTTTAAACGTGAGAAGCTTGAGCTTCCAAAAACGAGTTCCTGTAACTTTACGTTTTGCTTTATCTGTTTTTTTCACAGCTGAAAATGTGGCCAAAAAATGGCAAGTGACTAGAGAAGATCAGGACAAGTTGGCAGTGCTGTCCCAGAATAGGACGGAGAGTGCACAGAAAGCCGGCCACTTTGATAAAGAGATTGTACCAGTGTCTGTGCCTTCTAGAAAAGGTGGGTTCAGGCCTGGTCAGCGTGGCCCAGAGGTTGAGTGTTGACCTATGAACCAGGAGATCACAGTTCAATTCCTGGTCAGGTCACATGCCCAGGTTGTGGGCTCAGTCCCCAGTGTGGGGTGTGCAGGAGGCAGCCAGTCAATGATTCTTTCATCATTGATGTTTCTGTCTCTCCTTTTCCTTTTCTCCCTGAAATCAGTAAAAATATTTAGAAAAGGTGGGTACATAAATCATAATGATTTAAACATCAACACAGCTCTTTATAAGAATAATATCCAAAAGAATCATATATGGGCCTTGTGTATAAATTATGTCCTAGCCAAGTCTTTCAGGCTGAAAGGTATCCTCTGGATGCCTCTGAATAAGCTTGGGGTGATGGGGCAACGTTTATGGGGTGAGGAAACATGGCAAGCTGTGCCAGCATTGAGACACCTGGTCCCAGTGTGCACACTGCGAGGTCGGTAGGGCCAGTTTCAGGAGGAACTAGAGCATTGACAGGTAGTGAGGCCACAGCTGACCTGTTAACAGGGTAATCTCAGAAGTGAACATTACTTCCTGTTGCTTCTGGTTCAGCTCATATTTCTTGGGTGGATCTCTATGGGTCCCTTTGCTTTTATTTAATATTAGAGGCTCAGCACAGTGCATGAATTCACGCATGATTGGGGTCCCTCTGCCTGGTTGTCTATCAGGGTGGGGTTAGGGGGCCACCAGCTGTGGGGAGGAACCCTGGGAGGTTGGCCAGCAAGCCAGTGGGGTGGGGGGCGTGGGAGGGGCCGCAGGAGGTTTGTTGTGGGAGCGCACTGACCACCAGGGGGCAGCTTCTGTGTTGAGCATCTTTCTCTTGGTGGTCAATGTGTGTCATAGTGACTGGTCGACCAGTTGTTCTGGTCGTTTTGTCATAATGGTGGCTTAGGCTTTTTTTTTTTTTTTTTGCTTAGGCTTTTATATATATAGATCAAGTCCAATTCTCATAGCAATGAACTGACATCCCTTATGTCCAGCCCTTGTGAGGTTGGCTTTCACACTCCTCAATCCAGTACTCTGTAAGCAGCCAAGTCCTGTGCCTCAAAATGCCTCACGACTATAGTGTCTATAAAATGTCTAAACATACAATAATTTTTATTAGTGTGCATACTTTTCTTAGTAGAATGAAAGTTCCTTTTAAATGAACCTTTTCTTCAAATATGAATCATCATGAGTCAGGTCTGAGGAACCCACCATTCGTAGCATGCTGCCACCTCTGACCTTACCTCAGGAAATTTGTTTTCCTTTTCAGGTCTTATTGAAGTTAAAACAGATGAGTTTCCTCGCCATGGGAGCAACATAGAAGCCCTGTCTAAACTCAAGCCTTACTTCCTTACAGATGGGACAGGAACAGTGACTCCAGCTAATGCTTCAGGTTAGGGTAACATTTTTACTTGATTTTAGAGAGGAAGTGGGGAAGACATGTTGTTTCACTTATTGATGCATTCACTGGTTTCTTCTTTTTATATATATATATATTTTATTGATTTTTTTATAGCGAGGAAGAGAGAGAGCTAGAAAGATCGATGAGAGAGAAACATCAATCAGCTGCCTGCTGCACACCCCACACTGGGGATGTGCCCACAACCAAGGTACATGCTCTTGACCGTAATTGAACCCGGGACCCCTCAGTCCGCAGGCCAACGCTCTATCCACTGAGCCAAATTGATTTTGGCCACTGGTTGCTTCTTATATGTGCCCTGAGCAGGGATCAAACCCAGAACTTTGATGTATTGGGATGATGCTCTAACCCAGTGGTCTGTTGACCACCGGTTGGTGACCACTTTTCTAACCAACTGAGCTACCCAGACCGGGCCAGGTTAGGTTTTCTGAAGGACAGTTGGGGTTAACACCTTTTTTCTTTATTTCATTACTATACATGTTACTCTAAAACCTTGTTTTAGCTGCTTTAGGGGAAAATGTAGCTCTGTATATTTGGTTATTGGTTTTTCCATATTTGATTAGCTTACTCTATATGTACTGAATGGATTTGCTTTACCAATATCCTAACTTAAGGAATCCCAGTTTGTCTAGTATCTTTGTACTTTTCCAAAAACAGAATCTGTTGTCAGTATTCTCCTGTGAGGTTGTAGCTATTTCTTCCATTTCTTTTTGTTTTCCTCCCCTCCCCCCATTTTAATCTTCCCACTTTCCCACTGGAATGATTTGTGATTATGTCATATTGCCTAACTTACATTTCAAAGTACACTGTGTAGTCTGAAATATGGCAAATGGCTTTTGACAAGATGTGTTCATAATTTAACTCACGTCTTCAGCCATCCGAGAAAGTAAACAGGAACACGACTGAAGTCAGTAAGCTACGTGAGATGAAGACGTGGTGTTTTGCAGGAATAAATGATGGTGCTGCAGCTGTGGTTCTGATGAAGAAGTCTGAGGCGGAGAACCGTGGGCTGACACCTTTAGCAGAGATCGTCTCCTGGTCACAAGTGGGCGTGGAACCTTCCATTATGGGGACAGGGCCGATCCCAGCCATAAAGCAAGCTGTGAGTTTACTTCTGACCATCACCCCGTCGTCTGCTGTTACTTTACCTCTGAAGGACTAGACCACTAACCTGCAATTGCATATTAAGGTCTGCCTTCTGCACTTGCCCAGATCCTTTCCACTGCAAACAGCCAAGATTGAGCTTTACTTTCACGTTTATTCCCATCAGGTTTCGTTTGTAGTTTCTTTCCCTTTCATGAAAGTCTTCCAGTTAGCCTTAAATGAGCCCATTCATTCCCTTGCCTATTTTCCTTACACAAAGAGCAAGGGGAACAGATGCTGTGTCCCCTCTCCTACACGACAGATGTTACCAGTTCAAGATTTAAGATTGTTTAGAATTTCCAAGGGCTGTTTTATCCTTACGTCACTAGGCTGATGTAGCATTCCGAGACCCTTCAGTATCATATGTCCTTTTTAATGTACAATGAAGAATGGTGCCACCCGTTTTTATACCTCTCCCATCAACCTTCCCTTTAGGTTGCAAAAGCAGGCTGGTCACTGGAGGATGTGGATGTGTTTGAAATCAATGAAGCCTTTGCAGCCATCTCAGTTGCAATAACTAAGGAGCTTGGATTGAACCCAGAGAAGGTAAACTTAAGCAGCCCTTCCTGAGAACTTGCAAAGGAGCATTCACAATGCAGTTTACGATTGTAAACAGCAAAACACACAGAGCGTAGTTAGATCAAGTCCCAGGTGTTGGCCATCTGGTAGTAACTGGTGGGACTGCAGGTTCATGTACCCGGTTGCTTCCCAAGGCAAAAACCCTAGGCTGCATTAGTTTACTTCAAACGTATCAGGGCTCCAAAAAAATGTTAAATGCAGAAACGGGCAAGTTAGGGTAGATACATAAGGGCATAAATCAAAGAGGGTAGCTTACTGGTATAACTTTAAGAGGGAAAAGGTACTAGCTTAGGATTTTAGCTCTCTACAGAATGACAAGTCTTCTCTCCCTTCAGGTCAACAGTCAAGGAGGGGCCATAGCCCTGGGCCACCCTCTCGGGGCGTCTGGCTGTCGGATCCTTGTCACCCTGTTACACACGATGGAGCGGAAGGGTGGGCGCCGTGGGGTTGCTGCACTATGCGTTGGGGGTGGGATGGGGATAGCAATGTGTGTTCAGAGAGGATGAACGCGCTGAACTGAACTTGAACCTCACTCATTTCTACTAATAAGGCACTAATGTGTGAAATCAGGACCAATGTGAGGGTGGGAGCCATCTTCCACTTCACAAGAACCCAGAGCTTGACAGTGGGTACTTTTAATGTGTAACACGCAAGGTACAAGACAATGAAATGCATTGTACAGTGTTATAAATAAATCGGGTCAGTCATCAAGGGCTCCTGAGTGAACAGCATCTTCATACCCTCCATGCTTATCATCTTTGCTTTCTGGATGCAATTTAATAAGATCATCAATTCGAAGAATGGTAATTGCAGCTTCTGTTGCAAACTTCAAACTTTTAACTTTAACTACAGTTGGTTCAAACACCCCTGCTTGTTTGTTGTCTCGAGGTTTACCATTAACCAAATCAAGACCAATCCTGCAATTTAGAAAGAAATAAAATCGATTAAATGACTTAACATATACCCATCCTATCTATCCCTTTGATACTTAAGTAATTCTTTAAAAGAATATATTTTTTTGATTTTGTACAGAGGGGAAGGGAGAGAGATAGAGAGTTAGAAACATCGATGAGAGTGAGTCATCGATCAGCTGTCTCCTGCACACCCCCTACTGGGGATATGCCCGGAACCAAGGTACATGCCCTTGATCAAAATCGAACCCGGGACCTTTCAGTCCCCAAGCTGACGCTCTTTCCATTGAGCCAAACTGGTCTCAGCAATACTTAAGTAATTCTTAATGAATTAATAAAAATGAGTACAAAAAGTTGAGAAGCCCTTGATGGTAGTAAAGCTATAAACACCATCACTGTATTTATTATAAAGGAGTTGCGTAAAGATGGGTATAGATCGCCCCAAAATAATACCCTGCGTTCCTCTAATGCAGTGGCCAGCAAACCCATTGGTCAACAGCGCGGCAAACCACGGTTCTCAGACAGTTTGCCCATCACTGCTCTAGTGGGTCACCCAGAGAGGCAAGGAAGGGTGAGCACAACCGAGACACATCCATGCTAATACAACCACCAGAAAACACCTGCTACATCAGACATACAGAGGACAAGGAAAAAGACAGGGAAACTGCATACTTACCACTTTAGATTCTTGCGTTCGGGGTTAACCTGAGCCTCATTGTGAAAAGCTCTTAACTTTGCAACTAGATCAGTGGAGTCCTGGGCAGCATTCACTGCAAGTGTGTTGGGAATAACGAGAAGAGAGCGTGCAAACTCTGCAATAGCCAGCTGTTCCCGAGAGCCCTGGAAGAGACAGCGGGTGGCCTCAGGAAAGGAGGGGAAGGGCTCGGTTTCACATGAGGGCATTCGAAACGCTGGACGCTCTCTCGAGCGCTGCCGGGGAAGGAAGCGGGTCGCAGATGCTCTTACCATGCTGGTTGCGTAGTTTTCCAGGTATATGGAAAGGGCCGCTTCCACAGCACCCCCACCCGGCACCACAGACTTGGACTCCAAAACTCTCTTCACCACACAAATGGCGTCATGTAAAGAGCGCTCCATCTCATCACACATGTAGTCGTTTGCCCCACGTAAGATAATTGATGCAGATGTGCGAGCCTTAGTACTATTGAAAAATGAAGTGAAACTCTTAAAACAACACTTTTATCAGAAGTCTGCACAGACATTTATTTAAAGCACTGTGATTAAATCCTGCTTATAATACATAAGGACATATGTCTAGACCATGCATGCAGAAGAGATGAAATGGTTACTCCATCTCAATTGACAATGGTCTAATGTTGTTTTATCCCATGCGTATAACTGCTCATACCATTGAAAAGACTATAGCAGCAAATAAATGGGAAGGGGTCTGTTTTTACTCATTAATAAACATCTATGTAGTTTTAAAATTTACAAAGTAAGCTTACTTTTTTATCAGGATCAGTTCATCATCACAAATTCTCTCCTGTACCACTTCTTCTGCTTGCCCCAGCATCGCCACCTCAAAGGTTTCCTCGCCTTCCAGATTGGCCAGGCTTGACACAATGCTTGCTATTAAGTAATTACAAAGATATGTAAACACAATTGCCCACAAACATTTTCATACCCTGTCTTAGATCCAGAAACATGAAAAAGCGATGCATAAATGCAAGTTTAAGGTTTACACTTAGGCACCAGACATGGACTGTCATTTTGAGATTAAGAAATTCAATAAACAACTTTTCCAATTATATGAAGAATGGCGCTATCAGTATATTTGCAGTACCAATCATTACAGGGAGTAAAAGGAAAAAGGGTTGTTTTTTGGAAGCTGCTTAATACCCCCATGTACAGAGACATGGTCACCTACAGGAACATGAAATGTCACACCTGAGAGCTGGCGGAAGACATACCTCCAGAAGCTTTCGCAATGCGTTTAAGGTCCTTTTTTAAAACTCTTCTGACCGCCATTGCGCCAGCTTCCACAAAATACTTCAGACACATGTCGTCAATTCCACCAGTGGTGAGGATAACGTTGGCTCCAGTTGCCAGGATCTTCTGGATTCGTTCCTTGCTGATGTCGGATTCTCTACAGATAAAGTATTTGCCTTATAAGCCAAAGTTACCTTCTTTCATGTAACAAAGCTTTTAAGTTCCATAAGTAATTTTCACAAAATAACTGCAGTTTAAGTTTTATTACCTACTCTTTCCCTTTTATGGTAAAATTTAAACCAGTCCAATTTACATAAAAGTTCCAGGCATTAAAAATTCCACTTAGCACCCCCTCCCCCTATTTGAATATCTAACCAAGAAATGTGATTAGAAAGGAAAATGCCCAGCCTTCAATGATCTGGCAAGCTGTCAACCACATTTCATGGCCAATGCTACCACAAGTACAATACAGAGATCACAAGGCACACGGGAGACAGAAATCCATCCTGGCGGATGGGACAAGAAAAGCTTGAAGGTCTGGAGTCGAGGGTTCCAGACTTGAAATTGGAGGCAGGACCAGAAAATAAGAACCCTGTAGAGTGGTTAAATGCTTCATCTTTTAAAATTAGTAAGAACAGCATCAAATCTGTTTTCACGTCAGCGTGGACGCCGCACTGAGGCCAAGAGGCCGTTACTGGAGATCCGGACGCCTGGCAGGGAGGACAGTCTGGCTTAGGTGACAGGCTCAGCCACTGACTCCGCAGGCAAGATGAGAAAGAGTTGTTTTCAACAACATGAGTTGAAGTCCCTGTGTTATTTAGGATATGCTTCCAGGAGGCAGGCAGACAGGTATGGAAAGCACAAACTCTGGGAAGGAGTCAAATATAGGCAAATGAAGGATGTCGCTCACCATTCAAAGAGTGGTTAAGATAATTGAAAGAATTCTTAAAATGAATTAAATATTAATCTCAAAATAATCCTATTTGTAAATACTGAACAAATACTGCATGCCAGAAACTACTAAACACGTGAGGCTACAAAGCCAAGGAAATCATTCAGTCTCTACCTTCAGAACTTACAATCTAAGTCATACAAACACAGAAACTATGCTAAGCCCCAGGAACACAGGCACAGAAAGGCACAGTAGAGTATAATTTAGATTGAGGGATAAAAAGAAGCTTCTTTGAGACTGACCACTTAAAGAGCAACTAAAAAACGAAAATAGTCCTAGCTGGTCTGGCTCAATGCATAGAGCATCAGCCAACAGACTGAGGGGTCCCAGGTTCGATTCTGGTAAAGGGCACATGACTGGGTTGTGGGCTCCATCCCCAGTAAGGGGCGTGCAGGAGGCAGCTGGTCAATATTTCTCTCTCATCCATGTTTCTATCTCTCTATCCCTCTCTCTTCCTCTCTGTAAAAAATTAATAAAATATATTTAAAAAAATAATAATCAAGAGTAGATTAGGGGTGTATCATCACAAGCTGTTCCAAAAAACATTCAACTAGACAAATACATGTGTGTTGGGGGCTCAGAGAACTAAATGTGGGAGTCTCCCACATAACAACCGAGGTCACGGAATGGAGTTATCCTGCAGAGAACAGGTAGCCGTCTGGGCACCGGAATACAGATGAGGCAGTCTCACAGAGCCACTCCACATTCCAAGTGTCTCAAGAAAGTAGTCAAAGGCTCGATCAAGGTCAAGTGAAGGTTGAACATGTCTGTCTAGTGAGTACCAGTCACCAGTGAGCTGAGCAAGCGGGTCTCCACTGGAGAACGAGCTGTAAAAGGCGTAAGAAAGTGCCAGGAAACAGTTTTGTGTAAACCACTCTTGAGACACCTGGCTGTCAAGAGTGGGAATGGAGGAGGAGGAACTGGAGCAAATTGTGTGAGCTACAAGTGAAATCAGGAAAGGAACAAACAGTAGAATTCATAGTTGAAGACGCAGATGAGAAAGAACTATAAATGAAGCAACTCTAAGGCAGAATCCAACAGAATCTGGAACATTTACTGTAGCGGGAGGGAATCGCCTTAGACAGAAGGACACTGTTATGCAGGAAGGAGGAAAGGTGTTATGCAGTCACTTTGAACATGTCAGCATACCTCTGTCTAATCTGGTCCAGGTTCTCAGGATCTGTAATGAGCACCTGCACACCAAGCTTCATTTTTGTTTTCTGCAGGCTGAAGTCAAGGCAAGCAATTTTTGCATTAACTATTCTCTTGGGCATGCCTGTAATTGAACATAGTATTAGATTCTTTCACAGTAACTATTAATAACACTTCATTTTATACTCCTAGCCATAAAGCGTAAAGTATGTCATATATAAACACAAATTTCAATTTTATAACACATTTTTATGGCACAAGTACTTCTAACTTGCATTTTTCCTACGTTATGTGCTTAAGTTACTAAAGAGAAACTGACAATGTGATGTACAATTCCTTAAAGAACAGTAAGTGCCCAGCTTGGATAGTTCATCTGAAGATGAATAGTAAGCAGTCCACACAAAGCTAATTTTAACCTCCAGTCCTCTCGTTATGTGACCAAATCCGGAGCCTTACCCTGAGACCCCACCACACAGTTGAGTGCATAGCCATTGATGAGCACACTCTCCATCTGGCTTCTCCCGTGGGCTTTCAGAATATTAATGGAATTGATTGGATAGCGAGCTTGGCCTCTGAGATCTGTGTATTTAATAGCAAGTACAGCATCTACCACCATACTAGCGAAGAAATCACCATCTCTAAGGCGACAGTTAAGGAGAACAAGAGACTTGGAATAGAGAACAAGTAAACACGAAAATCAAGGATAACTCAAAGGCACTTCCCTTTTGCAACCTCATCAAGAAAATAGGCAGCATTTACCACCACCTGCAATTCATCCTCCCTTTACCCTGCATATTACCGCCCCTAAAACAGCAGGGGAGGAAACCGGCAATTTCAAAACGGCATCACCTGGCATGAAACTAACTCAAGTTCTTTCTTTAAAAAAAGCCCAAACTGGCCTGGACCACCACAGGATACATTCCAATGATTTTGGATGACATGGATGTTTTAGCAGCATTAGTCAGGCAATCTCTTCCAAGTTCATCCGTGTTAATAATTAGGTTCTCACTGATATAACGCACCGCTTCCCTGTTTAAAGCGTGGGGGAGAAAACAATTACAAGTTAATCCACTATTCAAACTTCTGTTTTACTATAGTGTCAATGTCACAGGCACCAATGTTCTGTCCCGCCATTTCATATAGGAGGAGGGCACAAATAGATCCTCCCTCTTCAGATCATGGCAATTTTAATCTATCCCATAAGCATAGCCACCAAAATCTACTAGCAGAAAATGTGGTAGTCAAATGGGACGAGGAGATACTGGCTCTACTTCAAATATCACTTAAATGCTAAAATGTAACTTTAAGAAAGTAAAATGTAGTCATTAATGAAAACATTTAAACACAGTTTGCAATTCTACCAAATAATATAAAATTTTCTCTGAATGCAAACAATCTTACTTGCAAGCAAGTCGATAGCCACTAATAACTGACGTGGGATGAATTTTCTGTTTGACTAGCTCATCCGCATTTTTTAGAAGTTCTGCGGCAATAATAACCTGTTGAGAAAACATTCATGGCTGTAATATTAGTCTAACACTCTGTGCAATGTGTATGTAAAAGCAGCAAAATGACCAGGTATTAACCAGAACTGTGATGGCAGTAAATGAGTAACGGATCAGAAGCCTGAAAAACATATAACTCTACTTAGTGTTTCATATGCAAATGACCAAAATGAAGTAAAAGCCAGAAAAATGTTCTGGCTGATATATTAGTTCTGCAGTACAACAGTCAAAGACTACACATCCATTATTTTCACAGATTAAGTGTCCAACAGATACTAAGAGTCTGGCTACTCAAATGGCCTTTAGTATTTTAAGTTATTATCTGGCTTATTATAAAAATCATTTAAGGACACTAAAAATATTTTTTTGATTAAAAAGACTTCAGCCCATGCGAAACCGGTTTGGCTCAGTGGATAGAGCGTCAGCCTGCGGACTGAAGGGTCCCGGGTTTGATTGCGGTCAAGGGCATGTACCTTGGTTGTGAGCACATCCCCAGTAGGGGGCGTGCAAGATCAATGACAGCTGATCAATGACTCTCATCGGTGTTTTTAACTCTTATCCCTCTCTCTTCCTCTCTGTAAAAAATCAATAAAATATATTTTTTTTAAAAAGAAAAGAAAAAGACCTCTGCCCAGCCAGCATGGCTCAGTGGTTGAGGGTTGACCTATGAAGCAGGCCAGGGTTCGATTCCCAGTCAGGGCACACGTGCTGGTTGCTTAATCCCCAGTGTGGGGTGTCTAGGAGGCAGCTGATCCATAATTCCTTCTCATCACTGATTATTTTCTCTCTCTCCCTCCCTTCCTCTCTAAAATCAATAAAAATATATTAAAAATAAAACGACTTCAAAAGTACTGCTTCTTTTGGGGGAAATTATAATTTTAAGACCATTTTTATTATAAGAGGTAACCATTCTTTCATGGCTTGTAGTTTTAATTTAAAAATGCAAACATTTCCCCACCCAATACATTGTTTCTTTAGAGTAAATTATTTGTTTCTATATCAATGTGCTCCATGCTCTCCAAATTTATAATACTGATCACACTCCCATTTTTAACTCATGAGATTGCCTTGCCAGCATTTAAAAAATAAAAGTATCTTGTTTTTACAAACTGGTGGAATATGTTCTTTAGAAATTTCAAAGTCTCAGGTTGTGAGGGGACCATATTGAAATCTCTTTTAAGTTTCTTCTTTACTTAAAGGGTACAACTAGCTATAACCATCAGTTTTTCAAGTTTTCTTTCAGAATCACCCCCATTGTTTCCCTCTCTTAAGTAACTCATTTTTAACTCAGAAGCAAATAACTTAGTATGGTTCACTTTCTGACCATCTGACACAGAAAAGCGAGTCTTCAGCCATCTACTCAGACTACCTACCACGGAGGTAGTTCCATCTCCCACTTCTTTGTCTTGCAGGTCAGCTAGCTCACAAAGAACTTTAGCTGCAGGATGCTCCACCTCCAGTAACTTCAGGATGGTCGCACCATCATTAGTAATGGTGATATCCTAAGAAGTTTGCAGGGAAGGGGGAGGAAAAAACACAATCACCTACAGAATCAGGACATGCTCATTAACATAACCACATTATGACATCCGTTCTTCCTTACCCCTTCCAATACAAAGAATTTATAGCAAATCACTTAAGATCTCATTAACTTAAAGAAACAAGTAGCTGAACTTACACCAATATCATCCACCAACATTTTATCCAAGCCAACAGGTCCAAGAGAACTCTTTACAATATTGGCAATAGAAGCTGCAGCCATAACTATAGAAATGAAATAATGAGAATTAGGCAAACCCACTACTTCATAGTAGTAAATGGTTCCCAACAACCTCTGAAATTTCCAAACGCACACATCTGTCCTCATTACTTAAAATAAAAAGGTAACCTACTAATTATAACTTGGATTCTGTCACCTCATAGAAAAAGGAAAACTAGCAAGTTTTTCTCTTTTTAAAAAGCCCTATTAAAATCAAGTTTATGTCTGTGAATTGAAAGTGGGAATCTGACTTGACTGCAAATTCATCCAAGACCAAAATTAACCATCAATCATGTGAGAAGTGTTAGCGCTCTCCAAAGGAGCTCACCAGCAAACGCTTAATTGGAAGCCATGGTCAGTAGAAAAAGTTCATTGTTAGGGTCGCTTGTGCCAACATCCAACGAACCCCCCCCCCCGGGGGCTACTTTTCCTGTCAGTGACGGTGGGGTAAGAGCGAGCGCCGGACGCGGCCCCCGGCCCTGCAGACAGCGCGGGAACAGCGGGCGCGTCCAAGAAGCTGCAGCGCCGGCCATCAGTAAAGCCAGCGAGCAGCGGGAACTCGCCGTTTCTGTTCCTGGTCCCAACCCGAGGCCCTGAAGTTGAGATCCGCTCCTCGCGGTCAGAACCGGAACCAGAGGGGGCCCACAGCAGCCACTCCCCCGGCGCGGGTCTCCGCACCGGCCGCGCCCCGCCCAGAAGCCCCAAACCCGCGCGGGCAGGTGACGCCCCCTCCCGGAGCCCATGTGGGGGGAGAAGGGGAGCACGAGGGGCGCAACGCGGGCCGCGGCGGGGAGCGCTCCGCCTCGCCCAGCGGAGGCCTCGCCGGTCCTTACCGTTCTGGGAGCGGATCGCCTCCCCCGTGCTGCGGTCCCCGAACACGGACAACGGCCCCTCCATCTTGGCGGCAGGGCACTCCTCGGGCTTCCCTTACACCGCGGACGCGAGCGAGGGTTCCTAGGCCCAGCGGCGCTCACACCGGCGGCAGCGGCAGCACAGCGTGGACCGGGCCGCGCGATGCCGCAGGGAATGCTGGGCACTCCGCTCCACCTCTGCCCCGCCCACCGGCCCCTCAGCGCCTGCGCCGCCGCCGCGGGGCAGGACGGGAAAGAGAGAAGGGGCGGGGAGAGACGCGTCAATGTGTAGGAAGTGAGGAACCGGAAGGGCGGGCTCATCATTTTTGCCCAATTAGAGGGCGAATAAGAAGGGCGCGATGGTAGAGCGGAAGTCAAGTTCTTGCACCGCGAGCGGAAATTGCTCGAGTGCGCGTGCGCGTTTGCACATTCTAGTGCCTTCTAGAAGAGGCGGTTCACGGGAGGGTGGAGCCTGGAGTGTGACGGGAGGAGGAGGGCGGGCCCTTCTTAAAGGTAGAGCGGGCCGCTGTTTGTACCGGCGATTGTTTTCCATCGCACCAGCTGGAACCGCAGCACACCCAGAAGTGTACTTTTGCTTACTCTGACTCACGTGGGACAGCTATTGTTGTAATGGCTATTGTTTTGACTTCGGAAGAGAGGCCAGTACTCCTAACTAAAGAGTTGGCTATTGCATGTTTTAAAAAAGACTGGTTTATACAGTGAATGTTTTCCTAGTTCTCCTTACACGTGGGAACTTGTTTGGAGAGCACCCGGCAAGCTGCAGGCTTTATTTTTGGGCTCCGAGGACAAGCTGGGCCCCGGTGGGACGGACAAGGCTTTCCGCGGCAAAATGACAGCCATCGTTTCCGGAGAGAGAGCTGAGCATCTTGCTCCGCCCCGCCTCCTCCCAGGGCCCACCCGGTGCGTGGGGCGTCACGGTCGGGGAGCTCTCCGGTTGGCCCAAGTAAGGAGCGTAAAGTTACGGCTTCCGGGCTCCAGCAGAAACCTGCCAACCGCGTTGCTTAAACTCAGGGGTCGCGCCCACCCACAGTGCTTTCCTGTGAGGTGGTTGGTCGGCGCCGGCGGCTGCGTGCCCCCAGCGTAAGCGATGATTGGAGGAGCGGGGAATAGAAGGTTGCCCCCTCGGCCAATCAGCGGCCAGGGAAACTGTTAGTTCCGGGTGGAGGGTCGTTGACCTACGCGATGCTGAGTTAATATGGCTGCGCCCGGCATGTCGTGGGGTCGTGGGTGAGAGAAGGTGGCCAAGTGTCCCCTAGGTTTTGCCCACGGTCCGCTCGGCGATGGCGCTTCGGTCCAGGTGCTGGGAGTTGTTGTCGGTTCGCAGGAACCCGGGTAATCTCCCCACTGCTCCGCGATTGCTCCCCGGGCCTGCAGGGCAGCGTGTTTTCCATTCCACGCGGCCAGCGTTGTGATGAGGCGTGGAAGTGCGGGAGCGGGGTCTGAGGTCACTGCTCCCTGCGGCCACGCCCACCCTTTGACTTGGGAGGACGGGTGGGGAAGTGGTGGTCTTGCCTGCGGTCGTCGCTTCTAAAGACGCGTGTGATGGTTTCTGTTCTCAGGGCGTGGGGTCGCGGCGCTCTCCACCCGTCCCGAGCCCGGGCTGCAGCCGGAGGCGGACCCCCTGGGAAACGAAGCGGTGGCCCCAGAGTTCACCAACCGGAACCCGCGGAATCTGGAGCTCTTAGCCGTGGCCCGGAAAGAGCGGGGTTGGGGGACCGTGTGGCCCTCCCGCGAGTTCTGGCACAGGTGATTAGGTCGACAGCTACTGACCGGCAGAGCAGGGCGCGTGAAGTCTTTGGTCTGTCTGACACTTTGGTGTAAGCTGGAAAATGGAAACATGGAATAAGTTTATCTTTACCCAGAGAAGGGCCAGCACCTTAGCTCCATCTACTCAAACTCTTCTTTAAAATAGGTGCTGTGTAAATACATCTCCACTCTCAGAAATACCAAGTTTCTCTTTGATCTGAGGGGTTAGGCGGACGTGTTTGGTTTATTGTTGAGATATCCTCATAAAGACGAAGGGAAAATCCCTTCCCCAAGTAAAACCGAGGTGAAGTACGTTGAAGTAAGTGAACACAACATTTAGGCATGTATTTCCTGAAGTCATTTATCCTGAGGAATCGTTTATTCTGTCATCTCCTCGTTTAGGTTGCGAGTTATAAGGACTCAGCATCACACAGAGGCACTCGTTGAGCACCGCAACGGCCAGGTCGTGGTTTCTGCATCCACACGTGAGTGGGCTATTAAAAAGCACCTGTACAGCACCAAGAACGTGGCGGCCTGCGAGAACATAGGACGGGTGCTGGCAGAGCGATGCTTAGAGGCGGGAATCAACTTCATGGTCTACCAGCCCACGCCTTGGGAGGCAGCCTCAGAATCGGTATTTTGGTTTTCATGTACTTATTTTAAAAGTATTGCGTTAATTCTTGATATTAGATACTTACATCATAATAACAGGTCCGTATTTCAAATTCCCTTCATGTGTCAGACTCTAAGGTGGGCATCCTGATGTGCATTACCTAGTTTCATCCTCACAACCTAAGGGCCAGGACTAGTGTTCCCGGTTCTGTAAATAAATAACAGACTGGCAAGTCCAGTCATTGTGGGGGAGTTTTCAAACCCATGGTGACAGATTCTACAGCCATGATGTCGACCACTCTACTCCCTTGTTCATATATCAACGCCCTGTCTGTATAATATTTAAAACATTGATATCCTTGAGGTTTCTACATTCTCAATTTTCTTACCTGTGTCGTTATAAAGGTCACTTTCTGAAAAACCAGTGTAGGTGGGAAGTTAGCAAAGAGCAAGTCAGCTGTTCTCTTTCTATCAGGAAGTGGACTGTTTATTGTCAGCCTACTTGTGCTGATTTCATTCTTTCCCGTTTTGGTCCTTCACGCCAGATGAGACGACTGCAGGAGGCTGTGACAGAAGGGGGTGTGGTGCTTCAGGAGCCTCGGAGGATTTATGAGTGAAACCAATGGAATGGAGGCATTGTTGGAACTTGTAAATGTCAGCTGTCAGCCATCACACCCATCAGAAGGGAGCACCTGGAAGAACAGCCACTCAGAAGTTTTAGGCAATAATGTAACTGCAGAATGTCAGCAGTTACCAACAGCCCCTTCTCCCCTTGTGTGGGGGAGGCTAAAGCCTTCCCTCTTGGACATTTCTGAGAAAAGCTGTCACAGTTGTAATTAACTTCTGAAGGACAAATTAAATGTTTATAAGTTAAAGAATAAAGGCATAGTGTGATATTTAAATTTCTATATTAAATTTCTTCACGATTTCAGCTCTTTCTGGCAAGAGTGCACAGAAGAGGCTCATGCAAAGCACTTGTTACCATGTCTGGCTCAGAGAGGGTGATCTACATGATAGCTGTTGCTGCTCAGGATGTGGAGGTGGTTTTTTAAATATGAAACATCAATATCAGTGTGTTAGAAGCAATCTTAGTAATGTGAGGTTAAAATGGACAAATTCTGCCGGGACCGGTTTGGCTCAGTGGATAGAGGGTCAGCCTGCAGACTGAAAGGTCCCAGGTTCGATTCTGGTCGGGGGCATGTACCTTGGTTGTGGGCATATCCCCAGTGGGGGGTGTGCAAGAAGCAGCTGATTGGTAATTCACTGTCATCGATGTTTCTAACTATCCCTCTCTCTTCCTCTCTGTGAAAAATCAATAAAATATATTAAAAAAAAAAAAAAAAGCTGGACAAATTCTAAGCCCAATTGGGCTCCTGGACCCTAACAGGCAGAACCAGATTTGGAAGGATAAAGGAATGCAACGAGGAACTGGAAGTTTGGGTGGAAATGGACAGGGACCGGGATTCGGAATGTGCCGTGAACATTGTTAGGTGGGAGACGAAGCTTGGGGCGCATCCAGGTTCACCTGAAGTTGAACCGGGGCCAGATGGGTCATGGCAGCCCCACAGGAGCAGGTGAGATGGAGGTGTGAAGAGGAAGAACCTGCCAGCAGTGAAGGTGGCTTCCGTGTTGCCCCTCCATTATTATTATTTTTAAAAATATATATTTTATTGATTCTTTTACAGAGAGGAAGAGAGAGGGATAGAGAGTTAGAAACATCCATGAGAGAGAGTCATCGACCAGCTGCCTCTTGCACACCCCCTACTAGGGATATGCCCACAACCAAGGTACATGCCCTTGACCGGAATTGAACCCGGGACCCTTCAGTCCCCAAGCCGACGCTCTATCCATTGAGCCAAACCGGTTTTGGCAGCCCCTCCATTATTAAACGTGCGGCCACTTTCATTCTCCATAGAAGTGACACCAGCACTACCGTCAGCCTGGGTAACAGTGCTTGGTAAAGGCAAATGCATTCCACGTGTAACGGCCTGAGAGGCCTTCAGAATGCGGTGCCTCCATCCCCTCTCATGATCAATAAGTAACCCAGCGCAGTCACCACAGAAACACGGACTTGGGGAACGGACACACCGGCCTGCACCCACGGCTGCTAGAACCAAGCCCCTCGGAGCAGCGGGAGGCGCGGGGCCTGCAGCCCACGGGCGGCGCGGCGGGCGGCCGTTCCCCGGCGCGGCCCCTTTAAGGGCGGCGCACGTGGCGGCGCGAGGCCGGTGCGTGGCGCGTGCGTGGCGCCGCGGCGGGCGGCGTGGCCATGGACGTGGGCGCCGACGAGTTCGAGCGGAGCCTCCCGCTGCTGCAGGAGCTGGTCCAGGGCGCCGACTTCGTGGGTGAGGCCCGGCTCCGGCCTGGCCCGGGCCTCCGCACGGGGTGGGGGGCTCCGGGGGGCGGGGGCCCCGGGACAGCGGAGGCCGGGGGGCCCTCCAGCACCGGCTCCTCCTGGGCCCGGGGTCCGGCAGCCGCCAGCCCGGGGCCCAGGGGGCGGGAGCCGCGCCGCCGGACCTGCGGCCTGGCCCGGCCCGGCCTGGCCTCCTGAGCGCGGGGAGTGAGCCCTTCCCGCCGGGCTGCCTGGGACTGGGCTTTCTCCCTCCCGCAGGCCTGGACATCGAGTTCACCGGCCTCCGCACCAACCTGGCCCGGGCCCAGCAGATCAGGTAAAGCTGTGCTGCCCTAGGCCGGGTTCTCGGCGGGCACCCAGGGGCTCGGCCCCGGCCCCCGGCCCCGGCCTCGGTGCCGGCAGTGAACCCCGGAGGGGCTGAGCGGTGCTGGCCGGCCCGTTTTTTTCAGTCTTTTCGACCTGCCCTCGGAGTGGTACCTCAAGACCCGGCAGAGCGTTCAGCAGTTCACCATCTGTCAGATCGGTGAGTGTGTCCGGCCGCGGGGCCTGAGCCGCCAGGGGAGCTGCCTGATTGTCTCCGGGTGGTGGTGGTGCTTTTTTTATAGCACGGCTGGGAATTTATTGTAGTCCCCTTTGCGAGTGCACGTTACAGACGGGAGCGGGTACCCCGGCAGCGGATGGCAGAGTTACCAGGGTGGGCTCAGGTTTTGCTCCGCCTGCTCCCAGCCACGGCAGAGATGGCAGAGACCCCGCTGACACGGGGTGTGCTGCTGCCCCTCACGCTGGCTGTTCTCCTCCGGAATTGATGTTGCTCACCTCGCAGAGGAAAAGCGATGTGCTTGTTGTCCTGATCGACATTTTTAATACGGGGTCAACCAACTCTCTGTGAAGGCGGGCCTTGTGGTCTATTACACTACTCAGCTCTGTTTTTTTAAAAATAATTATCAGTTGTTTTATTTCTTTTAAACATTTTTAAAAATATATCCTTATTGATTTTTTACAGAGAGGAAGGGAGAGAGATAGAGAGCTAGAAACGTCGGGATGAGAGAGAAACATCAACCAGCTGCCTTTTGCACACCCCCCACCGGGGATGTGCCCGCAACCAACGTACATGCCCCTGACCGGAATCGAACCCGGGACCTTTCAGTCTGCAGACCAACGCTCTACCGCTGAGCCAAACCGGTTTCGGCTACACTACTCAGTTTTGCCATTGTTGCTGGAAATCAGCCACAGACAGTGCATAAACGAATGAGCATGGCTGTATTCCAGTAAAACTTTATTTATAAAAACAGGCCTGGACAGACTTTACTGACCCTTACTTGTCCAGTGAACGATGGTGGACATCTTTGTGTGTGTGCTGCTGTCTCCTGTCCTTTGCTAGTTCTGTGGTGGTTCTTTAACCAGATGGAAAGGCCCTTTGAAAGGTACGGGAAATAGGTCTGTTCCTATTGCTCCTCTCCACTCGGCAGTCTTTCACTCTGTGAACCGTCTTTTTAACAATGAAGACATTGTAAGGCAAGTAAATATATACATCTTCATGGTTTGGGATGTTCCCCTTGGTTAGTTTTAAAACTATAGAAATGTCTCTTTAGTCCTGGCTGGTTTGGCTCCGTGGATAAAGCATCAGCCTGCGGACTGAGGGGTCCCGGGTTCGATTCTGGTCAGGGGCAGGCACATGCCTGGGTTGTGGGCTCGATCCCATTAGGTGATGTGCAGGAGGAAGTAACCAATGATTCTCTCTCATTGATGTTTCTGTCTCTCCGTCTCCCTTCCTCTCTGAAATCAGTAAAGATCTATTTTTTAAACCAAAATAGAAATAAAAATGTCACTTTAACTTCTGTGTTTGAAGAACCATTCACAATTAAGTTTGAGTAATTTGAGTGTGAATTACAATTTGGCTGCACTCAGGGTTTGGATCTGGCTTTCCTCCTCCTCCTCCTCCTCCTCCTCCTCCTCCTCCTCCTCCTTTTTTTTTTTTTTTTTTTTTTTTTTTAATGAGCTTTTCCTCTCTGGAAGCCCACACGATGCTTCTGGATTCAGAGCTCTGTTCAGAGGTTTTGTTCTGGTAGCTTCCTTGGTGCTCATTCCCTCTTCCTCCTCTTCTAGGGCTGTCTGTGTTTTCCAGTGTCGAAGGAGAGGCGAACAAGTATGTACAAACCCTTTTCAGAACACCTGGCTCTTGACCGTCTCCACCTCCTCTCCCCAAATGCTGCCCCAGGCTCTCAGCCATGCTGGCCCCGGCCGCTCCATGCTCTCCCCTGCTCCCAGGCCCTGCGCCTGCTCTCTCCCCTGCAGGCTCGGCTCGCCTTCAAGTCTCTGGAAGCAGCACCGTTTCTGGGGCCTTTCCTAACCCTGCCCTGCACCTTAGCCGCTCTTTTCCCTGTTGCCATGGTGTCCGGCCTGGCCTCGGGGAGGCAGCGGATGCAGGGTCACAGCGAGGGGAGGGCGAGGAGCCAGGCATCAGTGGTCAGAACGATGCTGAGGGCTCAGGGTGGGGCGGATCCTGCTCTTCCAGGGCAGGGTCTCTGCCTTTTCCCATGGGACCCCTCCCCCCCAGGGACCGTCACAGGACTGGGAACAGCCCCCACTGAGATGCTCCTCAATGAAGGCGCCCGCTCGGAAGCTCGCTCTGAGCCAGAGTTTTAAAACGGGTTTGGCTTTTTCTCCTTACGCTCTGTTCCCTTGTAGGTACGTGGCCCATTCCTGTAACTTCTTTCTCTTCCCCACGACGTTTGGGATTCTGGACTCAGAATTCTCTTTCCAGGCCTCCAGCGTCCAGTTTCTGAATCAGTATGGCTTCGACTATAACAAGGTGCGCCCTGGGGAGGGGGTGCTATGGGGGAGGGGGTCCCAGGGGGAGGGGGTGCAGGGGGAGGGGGATGGGGTGGGGAAGGGTCTCTGGTCCCCCTCCTTCCCGTTCACGTCCAGGAGGGTTCTGAGCTCCCCACACAGAGGGGCTCCTCAGCCAGCCCCCCGGTTCTCCTCCCGCCTCCAGTTTCTCAAACACGGAATCCCATACATGAACGAGGAGCAGGAGAAGCAAATCAAGCACAGCATCCTGACCGGGAACTGGCGCGTCCGCAGGTACAGCCAGGCTGGGGCGGATGGCGACGCCCCTAAGCTGCTGCGGTGGCCTCGGGCCTGCGCTCAGTCCCCATAATCACCCGGGCCGGGGACTCCATCCCCACGCCGAGGGGCAGCCTCTGCCCGGTGGGAGCTCAGGGCTTCAGATGGAGAACGAGAGGCAAAGGCCCTGCACGCCTGCTCAGGAGCAGGGCCTGCCCCCAGGGCCACGTCACTGCCCATGGTGTGTTGACCTTCAGTGTGACCTTGGGGGATTTTTAGGGGGACCCTGGCCATGCCGGTCACATGCCTCACCTTGGATGGACATGTCTCCTCATGCGCTGACCCAGCTGTGTCCCCTGCCCTTTCCCCGCGGCCCCCAGTGCCCGCGGTTCCCCTGGAGGCTGCCCTCCTGAGAGGGGTGAGGGGGCGCGGTGGGCAAGGGCAGCCTGTGTGGGGGAGGGGCACCCCCGCCCCCGTGTCAGTTCCCTGGTTTTGAACAAACTGTCTAAGCCCCGTGGCTTCAGGGTCATGCCTTTGACAGCTGTTAACTCTGCGAAGCGAGGAGGCATCACTGGGTCCAGGTCATCGTCTTATGCGATGTTGGCGTTTCTTGCTTTTTTTAAAAAACTGTATCCTTTTTGTGGTTTTCACATTAAAAATGCAGCTTTTTGTAGGGGAAAAGCCATTTTGAATTTGAGCCTTCTGTTATTTTCATGGAAAAGCTTTCTCTACCTCAGTCACATGACATTCTTCTGCCCGGAGACAGGAGAGGTACTCGGCGTTCCTCTCCGCCTTCCTCCACCAGATGGTGCCTTCTCCCCTCGCTGCCCAGCAAGCGGCCTCCGCCCAGCCCAGCCGCAGCCCCTGGCACAGTCCCCTGCAGCCCCCGTGCACCCGCGGGGGCGGGAGGAGGAGGGGCGGCCTCTGCGGCAGAGCCGGGCTTGGAAAACAAACGGCTTTTCTGGTGCCTTTTCTGCCAGCATCACAGTTTAACACTTGAGGCTCCAGAGCCGCTCCCAGGTTCACATCAGCACTGGGTTCTGGAAGGTTCTCTAACATCCCCCTTCCTGTGCCCATTTTCAGTTCCCTGGACAAAGACCAGATGAAGGCGGTCATCGATGAGGTGACCCGGTGGCTGGACCGGGCGGAGGAGGGCGACTGGATGACTCTCCCTGGCATCGCTGGTAGGCGGGGGCGTCGGTGCGGCCCTCGCACCCTGCTCCGCGCCGGGCATCCGCTCAGGGTCCCGGTGGAGAGAGAGAGCTCTGCCCTCCTGTTGGACTCTCTGAGAGCTCAGGGGGAGGAAGGGCAGCTCTGCCTTGGAGCCCGGTCCTGAGTGCCCGTGTCCTTGTGTTGACCTTGATCCTGGGTTTGCCCCCACAGTGCAGAGGCAATCACACTGGTCCGTGGACCCCCGGGGTCTCTGAGACCCTTCCCAAGGGGTCCATGAGGTCACAAGCATTGTAGGAATACCACTCGGCTGTCGCTGGCCGCTGGCATGGTGCCGTCCGCACTGATGGCATCGAAGCTCAGGCGGGCGAACCGGTCAGCACCGGTGCAGGGGGAGGCGTAGCGTCCTCATGCCGGTCACCGGGGGGTTCTGTCAGTAGTGACTCAGCAGTGATGCTCCGTTTGAACAAATCCAATTGTGCCCTGGCCAGTGTGGCTCGATTGGTTGGAGCGTTGTCCTGCACATTGAAAGGTCACAGGTTAGCTGAAACCGGTTTGGCTCAGTGGATACAGCGTTGGCCTGCAGACTGAAGGGTCCCAGGTTTGATTCGGGTCAAGGGCATGTATGTTGGTTGCAGGCACATCCCCAGTGGGGGGGGGTGCAGGAGGCAGCTGATCGATGTTTCTCTCTCATCAATGTTTCTAACTCTCTATCCCTCTCTCTTCCTCTCTGTAAAAAATCAATAAAATATATTTTAAAAGAAAAAAAAAAAGAAAGATCGCAGGTTAGAGTCCTGGTCAGGGAACATAACTAGGTGGCAGGTTCAGTCTCCAGTTTGGCACATAGGAGAGGCAACCAAGTGATGTCTCTCCTTCTCCCCCCCCCCCCTGTCTCTTTCTCTCTCTCCCTCTCTCTCCCTCCCTCTCCCTTTCTCTCTGTAAAATCAATGACCATATCCTCAAGTGAGGATTTAAAAAAATTCAATTTTATTTACTCTCCTTGGCAAAGAAGCAATATTCTTTAAAAACAAAACAAAACAACAACACTTTATTATTCAGATTATTACAATTATTCCTCTTTTCCCCCTAGGCCCTTAACCCTCCCTACTGTCCTCATCCATAGGTGTATGATTTTTGTCCAGTCTCATCCCACACCTCCACGCCCTTTCCCCCCTGAGGATTGTCAGTCCACTTCCTTTCTATGCTCCTGATTCCATTATATAATATTCACCAGTTTATTCTGTTTCTCAGATTTAAAAAAAAAATATATATTTTATTGATTTTTTTACAGAGAGGAAGGGAGAGGGATAGAGAGCCAGAAACATGGATCAACTGCCTCCTGCACACCCTACACTGGGGATGTACCCGCAACCAAGGTACATGCCCTTGACTGGAATCGAACCTGGGACCCTTCAGTCCATAGGCCAATGCTCTATCCACTCAGCAAAACTGGTTAGGGTTGTTCATCAGACTTTTTATCCACTTGATTTTTAGATTCACTTTTTGATATGTATTTGTTGTTCATAATTTTTAGCTTTACCTTTTTCTTCTTCTTCCTCTTCTTTTTTTTAAAAAAATATATTTAATTGATTTTTTACAGAGAGGAAGGGAGAGAGATAGAGAGCTAGAAACGTCGGAATGAGAGAGAAACATCGACCAGCTGCCTCTTGCACACCTCCTATGGGGGATGTGCTCGCAGCCAAGGTACATGCCCCTGACCGGAATCGAACCTGGGACCTTTCAGTCCGCGGCTCTACCACTGAGCCAAAGGGTTTCAGCCTTCTTCCTCTTCTGAAAGAATATCTTTCAGCATTTTATATAATACTCGTTTGATGGTGATAAACTCCTTTAGCTTTTTCTTATCTGTGAAGCTCTTTATCTGACCTTCAATTCTGAATGATAACTGCTGGGTAGAGTAATCTTGGTTGTAGGTTCTTACTATTCATCACTTTAAATATTTCTTGCCACTCCTTTCTGGCCTGCATAGTTTTTTGAGAAATCAGCTGACAATCTTATGGGTACTCCCTTGTAGGTAACTAACTTTTTCTCTTGCTGCTTTTAATATTCTCTCTGCCTTTTGCTCTTGGCATTTTAATTATGATGTGTCTTGGTGTGGTCCTCTTTGGATTTCTCTTGTTTGGGGTTCTTTGCGCTTCTTGGACTTGTAAGTCTCTTTCACTGTGTGGGGGAAGTTTTCAGTCATTATTTCCTCAAACAGGTTTTCAGTATCTTGCTCGCTCTCTTCTGGCACCCTCATAATTCAGATGTTGGTAAACTTGTAAGTTGTCTCAGAGGCTTCTTACACCATCTTCATATTTTTGGATTCTTTTTTCTTTTTGCTTTTCCAGTTGGATGTTTTTTGCTTCTTTGTGTTCAAATCTTTGACTTGGTTGTTGCGATCCTCTAGTCTGCTGTTGGATCTTGGTATGTTATTCTTTATTCAGTCAGTGTGTGTTTCATTTCTAGTTGGTACTTTTCATATCCTCCAGGGTCTTGCTAAATTTATCAGCAGTTTCTAGAAATTTCTTGAAAAACCTTATAACCATGGTTTTGAACTCTATATCCTCCATTTTTTCATTTGTGACCTGTTTCTTTGCGCATTTTGGCTGCTTCCCTGTGTTGATAGGGTGGCTTTGTGTGCTAGGTGTCTTGTAGGGCCCATTGGCTCAGCCTCCCCAGTTACCTGAGGTGGACATTCTTGGTGCACCCCTTTGTGGGCTGTGTGCACAGTCTTGTTGTAGTTAAGCCTTGATTGTTGTTGGTATCACTGGGAGGAATTGACCTCCAGGCCAATTGGCTGTGAGGATCAGCTGTGTCTATGCTGGGAGAACTTCTGCGATGGAGACACCCTTATGAGGCAAGACTTGCTTCGGTGGGGCTTTGGTGCTCACTGAGTCTGCCCCCTGAGTGTGTCCCTTATGGATCTGAGGAGTTGTAATCTGGATGGTCCCACTCTGACCCCTGGGTACCCTGGCCCTTGGACCTACAAGGAGGTGCAAATGGAAAAAAGGGAGCCTGTTCCTTCACAGAGAATAACTGACAGTCTGGCTCGTGCTAAAGCCGGAGTTTTAGTCAAACGCTGGGATTTAGGAAAACCTGAGTCTGCACCGCAGGCTGGCCAGCGCCCGTCCTGAGGCCTCTGCGGCTGCTGCACGTGCACAGCCTCCCAGGCCTCTCCTCGCCGCACTGCGGGGAAACTGAGCCTCCCTGTGTGTGTGTGTGGGGGGGGCGCTGTGGGCTTGGGCGCCCCGAGGGCTGCCCCTGGTCCGGCCGCGGGGTCCTGGTGAGCGGTCTCCCTGCCCTAGGCTTCCGGGCCTTCGAGGTGCAGCTGGTGCTGAGGCAGGCCCTCCCGGACATCTGGACGGCGCTGCGAGAGCAGGCGGTGAGTCCTCCCTGCAGCGGGCACCGCAGCCACCCCGTCGCCGCCCTCCCCGGCCACAGCTGGCCCGGGGAACTGTGTCTGTCTCCCTTTGCCCCTCTCCGCCCCCTCCCCTCCCCTCCCCTCCCCTCCGCTGGCAGCTTCCCCAGGCCGGGCCCTGTCTTCTTCCCCAGGTGATAGTGAAGAAGGTGAGCAAGCAGCACCGCTGGCACCTCCAGAACACCTCCTGCGCCCGCGAGAGCTGCTGGCGGGAGCAGATCCTCCTCTCCGCCAGGGGCTTCTCCGTGTTCTTCCAGATGCTGGTGAAGGCCCGCAAGGTAGGAGCGCCCTCTCCGGGCGCACTGCTGGGCTCCAGCGCGAGGTCTGAGCCAGTGGGTCCTCGTTGATAGCCGGTTGTGCGGGTCTGACCGGCACAAAGCATGGTGGGCTCGCTGGAGGGCAGGCTTCCCTGGCACGTCAGCACCTACTGGCCTGAAACTCCTCCAGGAGGGAGTGCTCTCTGCCTCCCGCTTGAGGCCCCGAGTGGCCGGCCTCCAGCCCTCCCCCTCACTGCGGCCCTCCTCGGGAGGGAGGGGAGGGGAGGGTGGGAAGGGATGGCCGCGTGGCAGGTGGTGTGGGTTCTAAGCTGCACCCTTCGCAGGAGAGCGTTCGCCTGCAGCGCCCGCTCCTGTCCTTTAAAGCTCCCCTTTCCTCCCTGTCGCTTTCCTCCAAGCAGCCCTTGGTGGGACACAACATGATGATGGACCTGCTGCACCTGCACGAGAAGTTCTTCAGGCCCCTCCCAGGTGGGCACGCCGGTCCTCTCCTGCCCCAACCTCAGCTCGCCACCGGAGGGGCCTGGGCCCGAATCCCGCTCCTGCAGGAGCACCCACGTGTGCACCCTCCCCACGGCGCACACACCCTCCCCACGGCACACACCCCTCCCCACGGCACACACCCCCTCCCCACGGCACACACCCCCTCCCCACGGCACACACCCTCCCCACGGCACACACCCCCTCCCCACGGCACACCCCCTCCCCACGGTGCACGCACCCCTCCCCACGGCACACAAACCCTCCCCACGGCGCACAAACCCTCCCCACGGCACACACCCCCTCCCCACGGCGCACACACCCTCCCCACGGCACACACCCCCTCCCCACGGCACACCCCCTCCCCACGGCGCACACCCCCTCCCCACGGCACACACCCCCTCCCCACGGCACACACCCCTCCCCACGGCACACACCCCCTCCCCACGGCACACACCCCCTCCCCACGGCACACACCCCCTCCCCACGGCGCACACACCCTCCCCACGGCACACACCCCCTCCCCACGGCACACACCCCCTCCCCACGGCACACCCCCTCCCCACGGCACACCCCCTCCCCACGGCACACCCCCTCCCCACGGCACACACCCCCTCCCCACGGCGCACACACCCTCCCCACGGCACACACCCCCTCCCCACGGCACACCCCCTCCCCACGGCACACCCCCTCCCCACGGCACACCCCCTCCCCACGGCACACACCCCCTCCCCACGGCACACCCCCTCCCCACGGCACACACCCCCTCCCCACGGCGCACACACCCTCCCCACGGCACACACCCCCTCCCCACGGCACACACCCCCTCCCCACGGCACACACCCCCTCCCCACGGCACACACCCCCTCCCCACGGCACACACCCCCTCCCCACGGCACACACCCCCTCCCCACGGCACACACCCCCTCCCCACGGCACACACCCCCTCCCCACGGCACACCCCCTCCCCACGGCACACACCCCCTCCCCACGGCACACCCCCTCCCCACGGCACACACCCCCTCCCCACGGCGCACACACCCTCCCCACGGCGCACACACCCTCCCCACGGCACACACCCCCTCCCCACGGCACACCCCCTCCCCACGGCGCACACCCCCTCCCCACGGCGCACACCCCCTCCCCACGGCACACACCCCTCCCCACGGCACACACCCCCTCCCCACGGCACACACCCCCTCCCCACGGCACACACCCCCTCCCCACGGCACACACCCCCTCCCCACGGCGCACACCCCCTCCCCACGGCGCACACACCCTCCCCACGGCACACACCCCCTCCCCACGGCACACACCCCCTCCCCACGGCACACCCCCTCCCCACGGCACACACCCCCTCCCCACGGCACACGCACCCTCCCCACGGCACACACCCCCTCCCCACGGCACACGCACCCTCCCCAGGGCCCACGCACCCTCCCCAGGAGCTGTGAGGAGGCGCTGCGTGGGTGAGAGGCAGCGCTGTTTCAGGGGGAGGCAGATGTGATGTCAGAGCGGTGGCAGGCCCCCACAGGAAGGAGGAGCGCAGCTGGCTTGGGTGCAGAAAGGGAGGGCGTGGGGAGAGCTGGGGGCAGGGGCTTGTGGTAAACCTGTTCACACTGCACGCAGGTGCAATGTTGAGAAGCATACCAGTGGATAGTTAGACATTGTTATGATTTTTAGTGGATTTTCCCCTGGACAGTCGTTTAGTTTACAAATGCTGACTTCCCACCTGATTCCCAGCAGCACCTCCTCCTCCTCTTCCAGTGGCTGGGACTCGGCCCCCTCCACGGGGCAGTGTCGGCAGTGGCAGTGGCAGCATCCTGAACTTCCTTGGCTTTTGTTGTTCCAGACTGAGGTGGCGGCCAGGCTGGGATTGGGAAACGCTTACTGAGCAGGAACGCGGGTCTTCTGTCTCTGTTTTGTTTGCTTCCTAACCAGAGGTGACAAGTGAGGCTCAAGAACTCTCCCTCCCAGTTTGCCATCCAACTCACCCTGCCTGTCTCATCTCCTCAGAAAGCTACCAGCAGTTCAAGCGGAACATCCACAGCCTCTTTCCCATCCTCGTGGACACGAAGAACGTGACCAAGGACATCTGGAAGGTGAAGCGGGGACCTGCCTCCGGGGAGGGGAGGGGACGCTCTGTCCCACAGCGCCGCCCTCCTCTGCAGAAACGGGTCCTGGACCCTCTTCTCACAGTTGACAGCCAGCATCACCTTCCTCCCGGGCGCAGCCCCTCGGGGTCCTCGTAGCTTCCATGGCACCCTGGCCTCCCCCCTCAGTTCCCGTGTTTTGATTTGTGTCCAGCTGCTGTGCTTGTTCAGGCCCAACAACAGAAGCTGACACATGCCTCGTGTTTGCACCCGCTTAAAGGCTTGGGGGGGGCGGGGCACTCTTTAAAAACCTTGAGGCAATCATCTCTATTGAGCCTTAGCCTCAAGCTGGGGTTGACAAACTCATTAGTCACCAGAGCCAAATATCAACAATACAACGACTGAAATTTCTTTTGAGAGCCAAATTTTTAAACTTAAACTTCTTCTAATGCCACTTTTTCAAAATAGACTCGCCCAGGCCGTGGTATTTTGTGGAAGAGCCACACTCAAGGGGCCAAAGAACCGAGTGTGGCTCTCCAGCTGCAGTTTGACGACCACGGCCTTAAGGTCCTGGGTTTCCAACCCCACAGCCCATCAGAACCACCTGGAGCTAAGTCCTGCTCCTGGGCCTCCGTCAGCTCCTCTGGTTGGGAGGAGGCTGATCTGTGAGGTGCTCAGGTGACTTCTGTTGTGCGTTTGGAGGGAAACACCCATTTGGTTTAAGTACAGTTAAGGTAAACTTAGCCGAAACCGGTTTGGCTCAGTGGATAGAGCGTCGGCTTGCGGACTGAAAGGTCCCGGGTTCTATTCTGGTCAAGGGCATGTACCTTGGTTATGGGCACATCCCCAGTAGGTGGTGTGCAAGAGGCAGCTGGTCGATGATCGTTTCTCATCGATGTTTCTAACTCTCTATCCTTATCTCTTCCTCTCTGTAAAAAAACAAACAATAAGCCGGGACAGGTTTGGCTCAATGGATAGAGCGTCAGCTTGGAGACTGAAGGGCCCCGGGTTCAATTCCGGGCAAGGGCATGTACCTTGGTTGTGGGCATATCCCCAGTAGTGGGTGTGCAAGAGGCAGCTGATCGATGACTCTCATTGATGTTTCTAACTATCTCTCTCCCTTCCTCTCTGTACAAAAATCAATAAAATATATTAAAAAAAAAAAAAAAAAGAAAAAAGAAAGAAAAGAAGGTAAACTTAGGCCCAGGGGGCATGGCTCTGTGGTTCAGTGTTGACCTGTGAACCATGAGGCCACAATTCAATTCGTGGTCAGGGATTGTGCCTGGACTGTGGGCTTGATTCCCAGCGTGGGGCGTGCAGGAGGCAGCCGTGCAGTGGTTCTCTCTCATCATTGATGTTCCTCTCTCTCTCTGCCTCTCCCTTCCTCTCTGAAATCAATAAAAACATTTTTAAAAAAGTTAAACTGAGTAACAGAGAAAGAGGAATTGGATCCGTGGCGTTGAGCCTTAAGCCGATCACTTACAGAAGTGAGGTGAGCTGCGGGCGCTCTCTGTCGGAGACACGCTCTTTCTGTAGCTCCCCCGCCTCAGCCCCGAGGCGTCTGTGCTGCTGCCGCTGCCTCCGCGTCACTGCACCGCCCTGGGGGGGAGGGGGGCTCACTGCGGGGGCCACGTGCTCCTTTCCACGGGATGTGGTGACCGGCACTGCCAGGCCTGCCCGTCTTGCCATGCCTGGTGCCTACACGTGTGCCTGTGGCCTGGGCTGATGCCTTGGAGTCTGTGTTTCTAGAACCCTTAGCCCTTGTCTTTGGAGGAAGACGAGATGAGCTGTGTCTGTGGCAGCTTTTGCTCTCTTAGGTTCGTGGTCGGCAAACCACATGTGGCTCTTTGGCCCCTTGAGTATGGCTCTTCCACAAAACACCACGGCCTGGGCCAGTCTATGTTGAAGAAGTGGTGTTAGAAGAAGTTTAAGTTTAAAAAATGGGGCTCTCCAGAGGAATTTCAATCGTTGTGCTGCTGATGTTTGGCTCTGTGGACTGATGAGTTTGCAGACCGCTGGCCTAGGTGATTAGGGCCCAGAGGGGCCCAGGCCCTGGGAGCCCTGGCGTCTGAAATGGGGAGGGGGTGTCTGAGGAGGAAGCAGAGGTGGTGGGAGTTGATGTTGTTATGACAGTTGGACAGCTGAAGCAGATCACAGACCACAGACAAACCTTCCCCTCGTTTGTTTCCGTGGCGGCAGGAGCTGAACTTCCCGAGGGTGTCCAACCTCTCCGAGGTGTACGACGTGCTGGACAGGTGCGGAGCGCCGTCTGGGCTGCTGCTGGGCGGGGTGGCTCCCGGACACTCAGCCCTCGGGAGCCCGCGGCCCGGGGAGCGAGGCCAGGGCACCGGGCCCGGCCAGTGCCTCCCGATGTTCGGTCCGATGTCCGTGCTGAGGCTGCGGAGCCTGTTCCAGAGGGAGGGCCGTGGCCGTGGCAGCACAGCCTGTGGATGAAGTGGCCCATCCTGTGGGCGGGGCTTGGGGCCTCCTTGGATCTGTTTCCGGTTGCTGGGGCGATGAGCCGGGGAAAACAGAGTGGTTTGGTTTTCTTGGGAACCGTGACCTTTCTTTCGGGCCTAAAGCTGTGCCAGGCCTGGTGGGCGCACATTCAACGTTGCATGAGTGGGCGATGCCAGCACTGCTGCCCGTGGTGGGTGGTGTGGTCACCTCTGTCTGTCCTGATGCCCCAGGACAGGCAGCCCCGGGCAAGGCTGGTGCCGAGTGCCTGTGGGCGCCCGAGCTCAGGTGCGGGTGCGATGGAGGCTCAGAACCCCCGGGCAGCTGTGCCCGCTGCTCTCACCGCCCCGTGGCCCTTCCCAAGGCCTTTGCCCGGGCCCGGGCCCAGGTCCCTGCCTTTTTGTTCCCTTCAGAGGTGGCTCGGTGCTGGGACAGTTTTTATATGAACAGAGGCGGCGAGGGGAGAGCCAGAGGCGCTGTCTCAGTGAATGGTCTCCATCCTTTTCTCTCCTCACAGTGACCTGAATCCCACCAGGAGCTCCGGGCCAGTGATTGTTCATGCCAGCCAGTGCGAGAAATACGGTAGGTGCCGTGGGGCGGGCCCCTCCGGCTTCGCACCAGGGCTAGATGAGGCGGGCCGGGCGCAGGGTGTCCTGGGCTGTGCCCCGTTCACCCCCCCTCGCTTGAAAGGAGCCTCTTGGAGGCTCTTGAGGCCCCGGGTGGGGGTGTCTGCTCCCCTGGGCCATGGGGAGCTGCCTGTAGGGGAGCTCAGCTCCCTGCCTCCTCCTGTGGGTGCTCAGGGGCCGTGGGGAGGGCCGCCCGCCCTGAGGACTGGAGGTGAGTGTAGGGCTGGGGGGGAAGCGAGCACAGGTCTCGGAGGAAGGAGGTGGAGGCTGCGGGTGCGGGGCCAGTGTCAGTGTGGGGCGGGGCGGGGCGGTTCACAGCCCACACGTGGATGCTGTGGGGGAGCCTCCTTTCCCAGGTGGTTCTAACCGCTGCTTCCTCTCCCCTGCTCCGAACGCGCCTCAGCTGCGACAAAGTGCCCCCACGAAGCCGCGTACGATGCCTTCCTCTGCGGGTCAGGTGGGCCGCTGTCCGCTCAGGGAGACTGGCCTGGCCGGTGGGCGCGTCGGCCGGTTCAGTTCCGGTCAGAGCGCACGCTCGGGTTGTGGGCTCCATCCCCAGAAGATCCGAGGTTCTCTCTCACTGTTGCTGTTTCCATCTCTCCTCTCCCTTCCTCTCTGAAATCAATACAAATGTTAAAATAAAAGACTAGTCGCTGGTTGCCTGGTGGTTAGATCTCGGCCTGCGCACGCAGCATTGGGTTCTATTCCCAGTGCAGGGCACGTGCTCAGGTTGCAGGTTAATCCCTGGCCCCGGTCAGGTGTATGGGAGGCAGCTAACAGCTGTGTCTCTTCACGTGAATGTTTCTCTCTCTCCCTCCCCCTTTCTCCCCCTCTCTCCCTCTCTCCTGCTATTCCTCTTTTACCCCCCCCTTCTCCCTCCCTTCCACTGTCTCTCCACAATCAGTGGAAAATACCCTCTGGTGGGGATTAGCACAAAGTAAATAAGTAAAGGAGACTCTGCTTCACCCCTGCGAACCCTGCCATCCATGCGTTCACGGCGGTGGCACATGTGGGGAAACGCATGCGCCTGCAGGTTAGGCCTGGTGTTGGGGCTGAACCTTGATGCGGGGTCCATTTCTGGCTTCCCCCAGTTCTCCTGAAGGTGGCGCACCTGCTGCTGTGGAGGGTGCACGGGTGAGTGTCCCTGCCTTGGCCTCGCTGCGGGCCGGCCCCCCACAGGAGGGAGGGAGGCGCCTGTGGATGTCACTGTGTGAACGCAGCCCCCCCCCACCGCCTGCCCCGTGCTGGCCGGGCCACGGCCATGGGCCAGGCGTAGGTTCTCATCCCGCCCAGTGCTCCCCACGCCTGGGGCTGGGTGTCTGTCACCACGTCTCCTCGCCGTGCAGCGGACAGCCGGGGCCGCGCAGTCAGGCCGCGAGGGCACAGGGAGGGCCTGACCCCCAGGCTGGGCCCCGGAAACCCGCCTCCCGTAGCCCCGTCCGCGGCGATGCCTTTGCTCAGGGACTCGGCAGCCACTGAAGAGCCGATCGTCTTGTGTGCGCTGAGGCTGACTTGGAAATAACTTGGGAGTCGTCTGTCCCGCTGGGTGTGGCCTGTGTCTGTCCATCTGAGTAACAGATTGTGCATAGAAATGTCCACAGCATGTAGACGTGAGGTTCATGACTTAAACGAGAAACCTGCCACCTCACCCCCCTTTCCTGTGTGTGGATGGCGCCCGAGTGCCCACGGGAGGTGCGTGTGCCAGCAGCGGAGGCAGCCCCCGCACGGCGTCCCTGGTGCCCACACCGGGCCTTACAGCCTTATTCCCATCGACCCGCAAGCCCCGGAGCCCCGGCTCAGAGCAGTTCCTGCCGCTGGGACGGGCTTGGCCGTGGCCGGTCTGGACGGAGGCGGGGCTGGGGTGGGACAGGTGGTGGGAAGAGGGACGGCAGGCGGAGTGGAGGGTGATGTCCGTCCGGGGATGGTAAGGTGCACGTCTGGCCAGTGCCCCCCTCATTCTCCACCGCTGGTCACCAAACGGTCCTAGCAGACGGTGACGCCTGGAAGCTCGGCTCTGGCGAGGGCCCGGAGGCACCTTCTGGGATTGGTGGAGGGCCGTGTGTGTGTGTGGGGGGGCACGGACCTGAGGGATCGTGGGGAGGGCAGGGCGTCGCCCCGAGCTACAGCCTCGGCCGAGGCGTGTGCGTGGCGCCAGGTGCTGAGTGCCGGGCGCCTGTCCACGCAGGGCCGGCTGCGCCCCGGAGCCCTCCTTCCCCCGGTACCTGGACGTGCTGGCCCCCTACGTGAACCAGGTGAACCTGATCCGGGCCGGCGTCCCCAAGATCGTGAGTACCGTCACCCCACTCCGCCCGGTCCGCGGCGGGCCCTGGTCCTGCGTGTCGTGGGGGGGGGGCTCTGATAACAACAGAATCAGCTGAGGAGGTGGCCGCTCGCCAAGCGGGTCTTGTTCTCGTCTTTCTGCCCAGACCAACGTGGACCAGCCTGTCCTCCCCGCCCTCTCCATCCCGAGGAGCCCTGCCCCGTTTCTCTCGGTCTTCAGCCTGGGTGGGCCGTCGGGAACAGTGGCAGTTTCCGTCTGTCCTTCTGTTCTAGAACTTCTCTGGCCCAGATTACCCCAGCATCCGGCCCCCCATCCTCATCCTCAGCGTCCGGCGGTGGCCGGGCCTCACCGAGCAGCAGGTCTATCGCGAGTTCCAGAGTCTCTGCAAGTTCGACGTCCGCCGGCTCACCGGGAGCCAGTTCCTGCTCCTGACCAACAAGTTCAAGGAGTAGGTGCCCCGGGCTCGGCGCCCAGGCCGGTCTCCTCCGACCCCCTCCCCTCAGCTCCCCTCCCCTCCCCGCAGCCGCCCCCCTGTCTCCTCCCCTCCCCTCCCCGCAGCCCGGCACCTGCCCAGAGCGGAGCCGGAGCCGCTGGGGCAGCCTGCCTGAGCCAGCGCCCCCCTCCCCCGCAGCGCCCGCAGCGTCCTGAAGGAGTACCGCGGCCACCCCTCGCTGCGGGTGTCCCTCTACCGCTACTGGCGGCACTCGCCGGACGTGCAGTGCCTGCTGCGGTGAGTGCCGCGGTCTGGCCGGCGCCGCTCCGCCGCTGGGTGTGTCCGAAGGAGTGGTTGACGGCATTCTGTAACGTTTTATTTTTATTTTTTAAACTTTTTATTGATTGATTGTGGTATCACAGAATTGTCCTCATCCCCCCATTCCCATCCCAAACCCCTCCCCTTGTATGCCCCCCACCTCAGTTGCTTTGCTTGTTTTTTGTTAATCCTCACCCGAGGATGTTTTACGTTGATTTTTAGAGAGAGAGGGAGGGAGAGACAGAGAGAGAGAGAGAGAGAGAGAGAGAGACACCAGTCGGTTGCCTCACGTACCTGGACTAGGGCCAGGGATCCAGCCTGCAACCCAGGCACGTGCCCTTGACCGGAATCGAACCCAGGACCCTTCGGTCTTCGGGCCGATGCTCTATCCACTGAGCCAAACCGGCTAGTGCTGTTCTATTACGTTTGCTGTGTTTATGGGCACCATCGTAGGCCCCTGTCTCGTGGGGTTTCCGCTGGGCGGGAGGCAGGCAGTGAAAGAGGGATGCACCGTCTGTTGGTGACAGGTGCTTATTAGCGAGGAGAGCAGTTCGGGGCGAGGGGAGGCGTGCGGTGGAAGGAGAGGTGCAGGCCCTGTGCCCGGGCCGAGGGGCCACAGGGCGAGGCCTCTGGCGGGACATGCCTGGTGCCCTGGGGGGAAGTCCGGACCTTAGTCCCGAACTGTGCTTGGACAGCTCAGGGGCCGAGGGGGTGGGGGTGGGGGTAGAGGGGGGGTGGGGGAGGTGGGCACAGACAGACTGGAGCAGAGTCGGGTTTGAGTCCAGAGCTTGTGACTGGAGCATCTGGGAAGATGGAGATGCATTGATGTGCTTTGTGAGGACTCTGGCCGGCTGGCTCCAGCCAGATCTGGAGAAACGCTGTTGAAGCAAACATGGGGCCCTAGGCTGCGTTCTCCTGTGTCGGCTCCGGGTGTAAGTCCCCGGGAAGAGGGAGCTCCGGGTCCCAGGAGACAAGTGCGCTGGGCTGGGACAGCGGTGGGGAAAGAATGTTTTCGCCAACGAAGCCGGGGAGAACGGGGCAAAGTCTGTCAGAGCTTCCAAGCCTGCAGCCTGGCCACACGTGCGCGCACACAGTGACCTTGTCCTTGTCTTGCAGAGTCTGCGGCATAGTCACCGCCTGGGCCCTTCTTGCGTTCCTCCTGGGGCGACCTGGCCCCTGACGCCGCCCGAGCCTCCGGAGGCCAGCCCTCCGCATTCCTGTCCGTCGCACCTGCTTGCCGTGGTCATTGTGAGGAGCTTTGTGACGCTGTGAAGGAGAAGTTCTGTGAATGCTGTCAGTGATGCAGACATCCTCGGTGGCTCTCCCTCCAGCGTCTCACCTTTGCCCTCTCCCTCAGCTCCCAGGCCCTCTTTGCTGGCACCTGTCTCCTGGGCCCGTTTCTTCTCTGGCTCACTTCTCCTCTATGACTTTCTAAACAAGCTTCCTCTTATTGAGAAGAAGAAAAAAGAGCCTTGGCTGGTGGCTCAGTTGGTTGGACGTCGTCCTGTGCACTGAAAAGGTGCTGGTTTGATTCCTGGTCAGGGCACACGCCGGGTTTGCAGGCTCAATCCCCGGTAGGTGGCATGTAGGAGGCAGCTGATCAATGTTTTGTTCTTACATTGATGTCTCTCTCTCTCTCTCTCTCTCTCTTTTTCCCTCCCTCCCTCTCAAAATCAATAAAAATATTTTTAAAAATACGAAACTCTCTTGATGTAGTACTATTAAGAATCCTGGTCAGATAAATGCATTCATTTATTCATTTCATCATCAATATTGCTTAGAAAGAGAGAAAGAAAAAGAAGGAAGGAAGGAAAAAGAAGTTCTTGGATCCGGTGCCTGTGGCCAGACCTTCCCCTCTCTCCCTGCCTGGGGAGAAGTCACCCTGTGAGAACTGTCCGGGGTCTCCTGCACAGACGGGAGCGGATGCCAGTGCAGAGAAGGCTGTGCTGTGTCTGGGAGAGAAATGCAGGCCAGGCGGTGGCAGGGGGGGAAGGTGGCACCCACGTACCTGCGCCCTGGTCATGCCTGTGGGTATCAGAGTGTCCTTGGGCAGCCAAGCTCCCCCTGGGGCGCCCGGGGCCTTAACCTAATGCTTACATTCACGTGAGGAGCTACAGTGAAGGTACAACCATTTGGCCGAGGTCTGACACAGTGAGCTTACCGCCCTGCGCTCACATCCTTGGGGGCAGACAGCCGGGGCAGGGCGGTGTGTGTGTGTGTGTGTGTGTGTGTGTGTGTGTGTGTGTGTGAGAGAGAGAGTGTGTGTGTGTATGTGTGTGTATGTGAGGGAGAGAGAGAGTGTGTGTGTGTGTGTGTGTGTGTGTGTATGTGAGGGAGAGTGTGTGTGTGTGTGAGTATGTGTGTATGTGAGGGAGAGTGTGTGTGTGTGTGTGTATGTGAGGGAGAGAGTGTGTGTGTATGAGAGTGTGTGAGAGAGAGACAGAGACAGAGACAGAAAGGAAATGCAGGCTGGGCTCAGGGACAGGAGGGAGGTGGGCCGTTGGGAAGAGCGGGGGCTCAGGGACACCTGCTGTCTGTGACCCAGGCCTCTTCCCACGTGGGGGTGAGGATCCCCAGCCTAGGGGTCTCACTCTTCCGCCTCCCTTCCTGGGGCTCTGACGCTGGCGCAGCCAGGCAGGCTCGTCTGGGTGACTGCCCGGCTGCTGGTGACGAGGGAGCAGGGCCCGGAACCCCTCCGGTGGGGCTGGGGGAGCTGGGCGCCAGGGCAGCGGGCGAGCAGGGTGCTGGGCGAGGGGGCAGCGGGCGAGCGGGGGAGCCAGGCGCCAGGGCAGCGGGCGAGCAGGGCGCTGGGTGAGGGGGCTGGAGCAGCGAGGGAGCCGCCGGCCACCCGGGGCCTGGCTGGCAGAGGCAGCGTCTCCGGACTAATTCTGCTGCACCGTTTTAGCATCCTGCGTTGTTCTTGGCAGCCCCGCGGGCCTGCATTTTTCTGCCCTGGAGAGCCTTGGGCTAGCGGACGGCCTTTTAATAGCTCCCTCTCCGCTCGAGCTGGCTGAGGCTGTTCTGTGGTTTGCGGTTAAAACCCCAGCTGAGCGGGTCCCTTGGCTCACGTAGGGCGAGGCCACGTGCGAGGGCCCTTCGTGCTGCTTTAGGGGAAAAGCGGGCCTGAGAGCAGGAGGGGAAGGGGGCTTCGGGCACTGACCTGTGAGCAGGACCCCTCGTGCCCACTCTTAAAGGGATACCCCCCTCAGCCCAGAGTCCACGATGGCCCGTGTCCACAGTGGATGCACAGTGTGACGCACACATCCACGCCCTGCAACAGCTTGTTGTTCCTCCTCTGTAAGGAATGAGACCCGGACAACAGCTACGACACAGGAGAAGCCTGAAGATGCCACGCTGAGTGAAATAAGCCAGCCAGAGGGACACAGCGTGTGCGAGTTCGCGAACCTCCAGGGGCAGGCAGCAGAGCAGAGGGGCCCAGGGTGGGGGAGAGAACTGGTGTTGACGGTGCAGGGTTCAGTCTGGGGAGATGGAAATGTGGAGACGGATGGTGGTAGCAGTTGCACAAAACTGATCACACTTAAAAATGATTACAGTTGTAAATTTTAGGGCATGTATGTTTTAACATAAAAAATTGTGTAAGCCCTGGCCGGTTGGCTCAGTAGTAGGAGCATGGGCTCATGGATCAAAGGGTCTCAGGTTCGATTCCGGTCAAGGGCACGGACCTCGGTTGCAAGCTCCATCCCTGGCCCTGGTGGGATGTGTATACTGGAGGCAACCAATCGCTGTGTCTCTCTCACATGGATGTTTCTCTCTCTGTCTCTCCCCCTCCCTTCCACTCTCTAAAAACCAATGGAAAACATCCTCAGTGAGGACTGACAACACAAATTACACACAAACATGTCCTCCGAAGAGCAGGTTTTGTGTATCAGAGTCTGAGAACGAGACTGGACCCCACATCAAGTCAGATTCCGTCCTCCTCGCGTGGCCCTTCGAGACAGGCTTGGGGAGGAGGAGGACCCACACCTGCATGGCGCTGGGCAGCGGTGGGGAAGATGGAGGCCGTGGGTCCTGAGCTGAGGGAATTAGGGCGGGCGGGCGGGCGGGTGGAGGTGGGGAGGGGGGGGGGAGCAAAGCTTCTGTGTCCAAGAGCCTCGCCATCTCACTTGGAGCTAGAGAACGGGCGGCGTTGACTGGTTTCTTCAGAGCCACGTGCAGGTTGGGGGCAAACCCGTGGTGGTTCTGGCATCGGAGGGTGACCGTGGCCTTCTGGCAGTGACGGCAGGATGTGGTGACGGCCTGTGAGCCCCAGGCCGCGGTGTGTGGCGGAGGAGCGGTGACTCAGGGCCACTCTTCACGGCAGCAGGACGTTCCAGCATGTCAGTTGCTGTCCCTTGGAGACGGCACTGTTTTCCATCTTCTTGAGGATGTAGAGGTGAAAACACATCATTTCCTCAAATCCACGGTCACTGCAGAAAAAGGACCATGGATACCGGGTTAACGGTGCCCACACACGGCCTGTAATTAGTAATTTCATTTTTTTAAGTATTTTATTTTATATTTTGTTTTGTTTTGAGCGCTGGCGGCCCCACGTCTGGGCAGGGAGCCTGGGGGGGCGGGGGGGGACTCTGTAGGGCGGGGGGCCAGGTCCTTCAGGAACACAGTTCTGATCCTTCATGTCTTCGTTGGAGCCTCTGGACGCCAGCTGGTGGATCCCCCGAAGGACGACGTAGAGAGCGCGGCTTCATGGTGGGCCAGCCCGCTGCCGGCCGAGGTGCAGCCCAACGGGTGATGCTCGGAACACACGGAGGAACGGACGGACTCCACGTCCCAGGGCAACGGTGTGTTCACGGCGTTTGGACACGCGAGGACCCGTGATTACCATCCAGAGAAGGAATCTGCGGGCCAGGGTCTGCGCAGCCGACGGGGTGCTGACCCGGAGCCAAGGAGACAGGCATTGGCTACGGGAAGGAGCTGCCCAGCACCTGTGTCTGGAAGGAGCCGCCATGGCCTTCACGCCCCTCGGCGCAGAGAGCGGTCTTCGATGGGGGACGGCTGGCCATTCTCCTCATCGCTCTGCAAAGCCGGGAAGAGGCTCCTTTCTGGAAGATTTCAAATACGGGTGGGGTGGGGGTGGGGACGCCTTGGGGCTCTCACAGGGTCTAATCTGCAGCCCGCTCTCGGTGGGACTTTTCCCAGGGTTGATCCCGGAGTCTGTCTGCTCCCTTAGCTTTCTCACGGGCTTGCCCCCCTCCCCCGCCCCCTGCTGTGCCTGGCTCCTGCCCCACCAGGAGGGCCTGTCCAGTTGGAGGAGAAGCGGGGGGGGGGGGGGGGGGGGGGGGGGAAGGCTACGCGTCAGAAAGATTTGATTTTGAAGAAAAGTGCAGGGAAAGTGAAGGTCGTGACTTGGGAGAGACGGCAGGGCAGACCGGATTGCCATCAGCCTGGGAGAGTTCTGTTCTCAGGCTTTTATCTCGGACTTTTATCTGACCAGTGAGATCTGAAGTCTCTTGCCAGACTGGAGGGCAGAGGGCGGGCCTGGCCCGGCTCTGAGACCCTGTCAATCAAACGGATGGGATAAAGGAGCGCTCATCACTCCAGTCGAATCTGCAAGTCGGAATTTCCAGCATGCGGGCGCGGCTCTGTTCCAGGGTGAGTCAGACGCAGTGCAGAGCGCTGTGGTCTGCGGTGGGGCCTGCTGTCCTCAGCCTGGTCCGGTGGGATGGCCTGACCGGCCTCACCTGCGGCCAACCTCTCGTGGGCGTGGCCCCCCCCCCCCCCCCCCCCCCCGTATTCTAACTCTCGCTCACACCAGGGGTCAGGCGGGGCTCTGAGGCCCTCTCTGTGGCTTTCTCCCAAACGTAGGCTCAGCATCCAGGGTGAGAGAGCAGAGGCCCTTCAAGATTAGGCATACCTTCCAGGCCGTGACTGGAGTTCACCAGGCACCCACGAGATCCTGATGGGAGAAAAAGATTTTACCACTTGTGGGTCTCTGAGTGGGCTCTGCCACTATGGGCCCCATCGCTATGGCTCCATCACTATGGCTCCATCGCTATGGGCCCCATCGCTATGGCTCCATCACTATGGCTCCATCACTATGGCTCTGCCACTATGGGCCCCATCACTATGGCTCCATCACTATGGGCCCCATCACTATGGCTCCATCACTATGGGCCCCATCACTATGGCTCCATTGCTATGGGCCCCATCACTATGGCTCCA